AGGTGGGATATCCCGTGTTCTTCGCGTTCGTGCTGACCTACATGCGCACCTCGGCACCTGGTCGGTTGCCAGCCAACTTCCATGTAAGGTTGGAAGGATTTACATACCTTTCCACTCTTCTAGTTTTCGAGTTTAGTATATTTTATAATATGTTTGCAGATTGAGATGAATTTATGAAGATGCTTGGAGATTAAGATTGATTTATGCACATTTCTGCAGGTTAAGATGGATTTATGCAGATCTCTGGAGTTTAGAAGGATGCATGACCAATCTGAATACATGTTTACGATATCGGATGGGGGCTCCGGAATAAAGGGCGGTTCATGATTCAACAGAGGCCCGATTGCTTTGCCACGGCGGACAAACAATTGTTGTTCCTGTTTAGCAGAATCTTTGCTCGGAATCTTGCTTTGGTGCCCTTCCGTTGGTGCAAGGTGGCACTGAAATGCATGTCAAGAAGTCTTGCCTTTTCCCTCTCAAGCCAAAGCAAACGGAGCAACATCTGGGCAAAAAGGAGTATATCCCTCAGATGGAGATGTGTCGTTTCCATCATCTCTTCCAACCCAATTCAGCAAAAAAGGGTGTTGGGCATGTCTTGGCAGAGATATAACACCCCTGCTGGGCTTTTAGCGTTCGCCCGCCTTCCCGCGCGCGCCACCGCCGTTTCTCTAGGATTTTTGGAGCAACCCTGAGCAGACCTGGGATTCTCTTGCAAAATGGCGATTGTGGGCCCCAAGGGCACTTTAAATCTCCATTTGATTCTTTACGGTGGTTCCTCAACAACCATAGTTTCCCTTTCGACCTCACCCAGGCGCTGCTTTTCACATCTTCTTTCTGAAAGCCCGCGGCCGAGTCAGCCGCTTCGATCGCAGAGGCGACCGCAACGGGGTGATCGAGGGCGACTGGCGGGAGGCGCTGGCAACCTTCGCGCTGGTCACCGCCGCCGTGTGCCTCTGGATCGATGGATCGGTCGAGCGTGGACAACTGGGGGGAGGGGGAGGCGGCGTGCAGCGGTATATTTTCTTCTGGGGGCACGAGTATAAATGTCTTGTGCACGTACCAAAGCCAGGGGCACTGTTTTGTTTTCCTTGAAGCACAATCCCAAAGTCATTGGAAAAGGGCAAAACAAGCACACTTATCCAAAGCTGCATGATGATTCCCTATTCTCCCTCTGAAGCAGTTTCATAGGGTTCTTTTCCACATGTGGGACACTTCCAGACCTCCAAGGTAGGAATCTAGTGACCCTCGAAACCGCGTTTGCTTCTTTGTTTGCTTGTTTCTTTGTTGCTTTGTTTACCTATCTTTCCCTTGCCACGGCCTTTGGCGCTCCTGGGATCCGCCAGCAAGGTTTGGGGGCATTTGGCTGGGCGGCCTGCCCTCGCACTTCCTGCCGGTGCGGAGGTCCTGGGATTTAGTGGTCCGGCTGGAGCGCCTGAGGCCGGCCGAGAGGTTGGGTGGTTGGGTTGGTTGGGTTGGGTGGGTTGGGTGGGTTGGGTGGGTTGGTTGGGTTGGGTGGGTTGGGTTGGGTGGGTTGGGTTGGTGGGTGGGTTGGTTGGGTTGGGTGGGTTGGTTGGGTTGGGTGGGTTGGTGGGTGGGTCGGTTGGGTTGGGTGGGTTGGGTGGGTTGGTTGGGTTGGTTGGGTTGGGTGGGTTGGGTGGGTTGGGTGGGTTGGTTGGGTTGGGTGGGTTGGGTGGGTTGGTGGGTGGGTTGGTTGGGTTGGGTGGGTGGGTTGGTTGGGTTGGGTGGGTTGGGTGGGTTGGGTGGGTTGGTTGGGTTGGGTGGGTTGGTTGGGTTGGTTGGGTTGGGTGGGTTGGTGGGTGGGTTGGTGGGTGGGTTGGGTGGGTTGGGTGGGTTGGGTGGGTTGGGTGGGTTGGTTGGGTTGGTTGGGTGTGGCTTGTGGGGGCTGGGTGGGTTGGGTGGGTGGCTTGGGTTGGGGTGGGTTGGGTGGGTTGGGTTGGTTGATTGGTTGGTTGGTTGGGTGGGTGGGTTGGGTGGGTGGAGGGGGGGGTTGGGTGGGGTGGGTGGGTTGGGTGGGTTGGGTGGGTGGGTTGGGTGGGTGGGTGGGTTAGTGGGTGGTTGGGTGGGTTGGGTGGGTTGGTGGGTGGGTTAAGCGGGTTGGTGGGTGGGTTGGGTGGGTTGGGTGGGTTGGGTTGGGTTGGGTGGGCTGGGTTGGTTGATTGGTTGGTTGGCTGGGTGGTGGGTGGGGTTGGGTGGGTTGGGTGGGTGGGTTGCGTAGGTTGGTGGGTGGGTTGGTGGGTGGGTTGGGTTGAGGTGCGCCTCAGTTGCAGCATGTGAGGCTTTGTCATGGTGTCGGAGCATGCCTCTGTGCCATCCGATATGGTTGGCGCTGCTATTTGAGAAATTAGGCTGCAATCTCTGGATGACTTGAAGCTGGCCTTCTCAATTCAGCAGGACCCGAATGATGACAGAATCTGCTGAGGCGCAAGTAAAGGTCATGCAGTATGGTGCGAGTGCCGTGGGGCAATGTTGGACATTCCCTGCACATCATGTCGATTCTCCTGGCGCGCGCCGCCTACTTCACTGAAAGGATCCCGGTCAGCACAGGTGGGCGCAAGTCTGCAGCTTCGGGATAATCCTCTTTGAGCTGTTAACAGCCGGGGAGAAGCGTGGCCAAAGGGGAAGCCGATTCGTCCTGATTCGAGCTGAGCACACACCTTGTGAAACTGAGACGGATCGCAGGGGCGGTGGCAGAATCGCTAAAGGAGGCCAGCGCGTTGGCCCAAACCTGTGGCAACGAGCCTGATCGAGCTAGCTCTTCGTTGCGCTTCGGAGGTTAGACGTGCTTGCAGCTTCTCATTCTTCCTTTCGAAGTCGCTCGCTCGGACTTGGGGTGTTCGCCTGTCTTTGAGGAATTGGCGCTTAAGATCATCGGGCCACGTCAGGGGGAGGCCACGTTTAGCTCGAAGAGTCAAATGGTCAAAGTCTTGATTACCAGCAGTCCTGATGAGCTTAAAAACGGGAGCTGCCAGCTCAAACCCCGTCTAGCAGACTCTTAAGAGACACAACGTGCAATCCTTTGGGCGGCTGACGGAAGCTGCGCAGCGATCAATTGAACTAGTGTTTGGCTCAAAGTGTGAAACGCCGCAAGACGATCTGCGGATGGCGCTTAGCGTGACGCTGCCCCGAGCGATGATGTGGGCTGCGCCAGAATAATTAGAAGGGCGGGTGGGGTTCTGGGGTGGGTGGGGTGGTTGGGGTGGGTGGGGTGGGGTGGGTGGGGGTGGGGTGTGTGTGTGTGTGTGGGTGTGGGGGTGGGTGGGGCGGGTAGGGTGTGTGGGGTGGGTGGGGTGGGTGGGGTGGGGCGGGTGGGGTGGGTGGGGTGGGTGGGGTGGGTGGGCTGGGTGTCGTGGGTGGGGTGGGGTGGTTTGGTTTGGTTTGGTTTGGTTTGGTTTGGTTTGGTTTGGTTTGGTTTGGTTGGTGGGTCGGTTGGTCGGTTGGTTGGTTGGTTGGTTGGTTGGTTGGTTGGTTGGTTGGTTGGTTGGTTGGTTGGTTGGTTGGTTGGTTGGTTGGTTGGTTGGTTGGTTGGTTGGTTGGTTGGTTGGTTGGTTGGTTGGTTGGTTGGTTGGTTGGTTGGTTGGTTGGTTGGTTGGTTGGTTTTGAGGGTTTTTTCGTGGCAAAGGGGGGACAGGTCCCTCTGCCTTTGCCTCATGCTCTGGCTGGTGACCCTCTTCTTCCGCGTGTACAAGGCGGGGCCTGAATGCCACTCAGCTGGCAAACTCAATTGCCAGCCTTTTCAACCTCAAGATTTTCGACTCGTGTTTAGAGGGGCTCACAAATCCCGCAAGTCTAACTGGCAAGGGTCAACGAAACACTGAGGCCGCCCTTCATTGAAGTCAACAGTTGACCTACTCGGTATCTGTTTCTTGGAATTGCCGGTGGCAGGGTTCCAACACGCGGTAGCTTCACTTCCGGATTCTTGAATAAGGCGACTTCGCAAGGCGTGTGTTTGCTTGAGGTGCCGTTTTCTGGGCTTACGAACCACGATTTCTGGGGGTCTCCCACCTTGGCACATACCCATACTTATTTGAGGGTGCTCTTCATGCAGTTGTGGCCGACACAAGCTTTGCTCGCAAGGCCGTCTGAGCAGAGAACGATGCGCCCGCTCGCGCTGGAGCCTGTGAGTCTGGAGTCCCTGCGGCGGAGGCGCAATAAACAGTCCTTCAATTTTTGGCATAGCCTGGAAGAGAAAGCAAGGGGCAACCAGTGTAATTTGCGGGGCCACCCTAATTTGTTGGCAACGCGATGAAATATGGAGAAAATAGTTGATTTTGAACGCGAACATTTCCCCACTACTTGCCCGCCTGGAGCCAGAACCCTCCCAGGATTGTCAGAAAACGGTTGGCCAAGACCCGGCTGCCGGCCGGCCCAGATTTTCAGTTGCATGAGCATTGGGTCTTGAGATGCACCCGGGGGATTCAATCCGATTTCTAGCAAGGGTTCGGCGTCTCGTGCAGGTCGCACCGATGCACCGAGGCTTCCCCGGCTGACGGCCAGGACTTGAGAGAGCCTCGTGAGATGGGGGGATGGGCCGACGGGCTGATAAGATCGTGGGGCGTGTCTTCGGCGAAGCCGAGGCGCTCTTTCGCTCGCTTTGCAACTAGCTGGGCGAGCTGGAAGAAGCCGATAGAGCAGAGGCGAAAAAAGGCCTGACGGCCAGCTCGACTTGCTTGGCGCTTGGCATACTCATGCATAACGTGAACCCCACATGAAATTTAGCCCCCGGTCCATTTTGATGCATGGGCGCGGCTGAGGCAGTCCCGAATACTTCCCCCGACCGACATTCGCCCCTGAGATTTGCTGGAAGCAGTGTTTTTGTTCCCCTGAACCTGGGAGAAGTTGATTGTTGCTGAGGTGGTTGGAGTTGGACTCTACAACCGCAAGAACCAGCCAAAGGGGTTCCTCGAAAAAGAGACGCCCATGGGCCCGTCCATGGTTCCCGGTGAGCAAAATGTCCCTTAGGGACTCTTGCCACCGGCCAGGCCACCAGCGGGCGCTGGCCGGAGGATTTTCTGCGGGGCGCCTCTGTCTCAAAATGGGTATGAGGCAAAATAGGGGGACCCGGGCACTGGTTGGGCGGTCCCATGAAAAGGCAGCTAAAAGCGAACCAAAAGTTGAAGTCACAAGGAAACCAACATCTGAAGCGGAGGCGTCATTTGGATCCTGGAGTCTCCAGTACTCCGGAGTCACCACTGGCAAGCCAAGCAGGTACAGGAGTTAGTTTTACGGAACCTGAAAACAGGCCAAGCCCTGACACTACCCGCAAAACATTCCAAGGGTTGATTGCCTATTCTCTTCAGCAGCCTCAGGTTTCGGACCATTTCTGAAGAGAAGGCAGCTGACTCCTGAGCTTGCTTTGGGCTTTGGGCAAGATTTGCAGCTGAGTGGCACTCTTCCTTCGTCTGTTTTTCGGCAGTTGCTGTGTTCCAACCGGTTGACCCAGTCGCTTCTTAGGCGTTCGCCTTGGCCGGCCTTGGCCCTGCTGTGGTCCCTGGAAAGCTGGGGGCCCTAAGGCAGTTCGTCTTTTAGTCTTTCAGGGCTCTTTTAAGATCGCCGTTGAGTTTGTTTTTAGGTCCTTTGTTTTTGCGTTGTTTGGATCTTGTTGGGTTTGGCTGGATTTGTTGTGGTTCTTGTTTGGTCTTGTTAGTCTTGTTTTGGTTTGTTTGGTTCTGTTTGGTCTTGTTTGTTTGTTTGTTTGTTGTTTCGGGTCATCATTCAGCGGCGATGATCAGAGGTTTCACAAGGACTTGCGTGCCGTTTGTATAGGCTCGGCACTTTGAAAGCTCTACCTGGCTTGTTGCTGGGTGCTAAGGGGGGCCCCAAAACGGGTGGCTTTCCTTTTTGTTTCAACCACTGGGCCCATCGCTCGCAGCAGTCACCTTGGAGCCAAAAAGGCTGCATGGAGCCAAAAGCACAAGTGCCCATGAGAGAGTCGTTCACAAAGTACATGTGCATTTCGGACGGAGAATGATTCATATTTTTTTTGGGTTCGTCACTTTTGTCTTGCTCCTGGCCGATTTCAGCTGCCCTTCTAGGGTTCATTTACATTTACTTATGAGACTTATGAGGCATGAATCAGCCTATGAGCGCCCACAACGTCTGAACAAGCATGTACAGACGCAAGAGAGCACCCCAAAAGTTTTCGGGAACGATGGCGCCACCCCCGAAAAGATTTAACTTGTCAGACTAGTTGTTGCTCAAACGCCTGCATTATGGCTGGCATATGTGTTGACGTTTCGTGTCCAGGAATCGCGCGGCGTGATTCGTGCCAGACGATTCAATTCAATTCGCGAGTTTCCTGACATGAGACACATCTTGATTACTGATCTACTGTGGCACCCAAGGCAAGCCTTTATACTATTCAACGTGTCCGTCGTCGAAAAAACAAACACACATACAGATGTACACAGATCCATCCATGACACTAGTTACATATTACATACTGCATACTATACAATACATATTACTCATTGCATAGCCCACATTACAGATTTCATATCACATATCACATATTCCATTGTACAAAATTACAGTTCCGTCCAGCCCAGCCCAGCCCAGCCCAGCCCGGTGCAGTACAGTACAGTACAGTACAGTACAGTACAGTACAGTACAGTACAGTACAGTACAGTACAGTACAGTACAGTACAGTACAGTACAGTACAGTACAGTACAGTACAGTACAGTACAGTACAGTACATACAACCACTATACATTTTGTTGCATGTTTCTATTTTCCGCATATGTTATATGCCTATACACATATATACATATATTATTTGTTCAGACTGCTAATATGCACAAACCATGTTGCCGTACGCGGCTTGAGGCCAGGGCACGCCAAGCACCTGGCGCGTGGCGTTGCTGGGCCAGCTGCGAGGCCAGCGGACGGTTGGGGCGTGTTGTGTTGTAGTGGACCCACAAAATGCTGGTTTCGTTTTGGTTTCCCTTTACAACCGCCAAAAACGAGCACCCTCAAAAAACGGGGAAAAGGGGAGGAAGGGCCGTATTTGGGCTCCCTTCCTCATACAGGGGATGACTAAACGAACCAAGATGTGGGGGAGTTTTTCGCCACCGAAAGAGTCCGCCATGGATTCGATGTGGGAGTACGTATCTTTTGTGGCGACAACATCTACTCGCAATTGTGCTATCTACTCTGTAGGGCTATTCAAATGGGAGGGTTGCGCAATCCTGATCCACAATTCCCTATAGGGAAACCACTACAAAGGAACCCATGGCATAATCCAAGGTAGTGGTAGCCCCGGATTAAGCCCGTCCCACTTGTGTTGCCCACAAAAGTGATCCGGATCCCCACTGAAAGGAGACTCCCCGCCTATCAATCAACCAGGCGTATTTTGATTGGGGGTCAAGATGTTCGGTTGGGTGACAGTGGATGGCACAGTTCTCGGTGGAGGTAAGTAAAGAGGATGACTAAAATGGGAGAGTTGTGCCATCTACCTTCACCCAACTGTACCCTTTATACAGTGGCTATACAGTGGTTGCATATCCCATCAAACCCTGGGACCTTCGATCGACCCGACTCGATGCTACATAGGCTGATTGAAGGCAACGGGGTGGTTCCGACCATGTTGCGCATGCCGTGCATTGTGTTTTTTTTCGGCTTCGGCTGGGACTCGCTTGAAAATCATGATACAGCCCGACAGAATGCTTGGCATATTTGTTTGTGTGTGCTGGAGTAGAGATGAGTGTTTGCAGTCTTCAACAACAATTGGGGACTTTGCTCCAAGCGCCTGTGGGCTGATTTGGAGCTTAGCTTGCAGAGTCTGTCTGGAATCATGCTCGAGAGTGGGGTGCAAGGGGCTGTCAGTCACGTGCGTCAGATGAAGCATGGCAAGGTGGCAGAATTGCCAATATCTGACAATGTCGGACCACCGACTTGAGAGTACCCCGTTTTTAATGATTCAAAATGGACACCAAACGGAACACCGAATCCAGATTGAGCCCGCCTATGTCTTCTGCAAAAATCTGGCTGGATCCTGCGTGTTTTCTGGGTGTCCAGGCTCTGGCTTGGTTCTCAAGAGCGCTTTTGGGAGTCCCGTTCTGGCAACCCGAAAATGGGGGACCGTCACATCCCTTCCCCTTGGCGCTTTGCGGCGATCTTAGACGTGAGTTGAGTTTAGGGGATGGTGTAGCATATCCCACTGACTTTTGGCAAGGGGTCCATTGGTCAAGGGGTCAACGAACCACCAAGTCGAGGCAGGGTTGAATGGATTCCATTTTCGTGAGTTTTTCGCAGCAGGGGCCGTGGCGTACCTCAACTTCCTGCCGGAGGAGATGTCGAGGCAGGGGAGCACAAGCAAGCGAAGGGTTCGCAGGCACCCTGGAACATGCTGGCGTTCAGTTGGGCGCCAACTTTCTGACCCAAATGGGTATGTGTCAAAATAGGGGGGGCACCCCAAGTTAGAATGGTTTTCCTGAAAAGGCACCCTACGAGCGCACACCCAAATCTTGGTGGGTTTTGGGGAAGTGCGGTTTCTGAATGCCCACGTCTTGTTGGGTTTCGGGAAGCCCGCTTTCTGAACGCGGAAAATTGTCGGTTTGGTCACAAGAAGCCCATTGTCTGCAACCAGCTTCACTGGCGTTCACACCCTGTCGGGACGGTCTCCTTGATCTGGGCAAATTTGATCGCGGCCACAGAAGAGGCCTTGCTGTGTGTCCGTACCAGTCAGACAATGCCAGGTGCATGTCTGCGGTAGTTTGGGGTCTTCTCTTCTTCTTCTTTTTTTTGCGCGGTTGGTTTAAAGGGACCAAAGGAAAACACACCAGACACTCATAGGCCTAGATGGACGGAAAACTTCGCTGAGCCTTTTGACCTAGTCTGGCCCTATCTCCTCCAAAATTACATATGAAGCAGAATCTGAAAATGGGTGGCTCGTCTTTTTTTGGGTACCACTTTTGGGATTGGATTGAGGGAAGCCAAAAGGAAACAACCCATTTTGGGGATTCTCTTATTTTGAGACGAAGTCAAATGTGACTTGGGTCAAGAAATGGCTATCCTTGACAAATCCAGTTCGACCAGCCAAGTTTTGGAGGGGTTAAAAGGAGCGCCTTGAGGATGCCCTAGGTGTCCCGTGCTCTAAGACAAACACCCACGTGGGTTTGGGTGGAATTGGGAGTTTCGCTTTACATCAGTATGCCATTTCTTGTTGATTTTCCGAAACACCAGAGCAGTAGATGGCAGAAGTGCCTCACAAACTTGCCTCCCACAAAACGTGCCAGGCGCACAGGTCACTTTTGGAAGACGATCCTCCTGCGGGGCCGCTGTGCACTGCTATTATTTTTTGGTGGGAGAGGTACCTACAGGCTTCCCCATATTCCCCGCGTGTGGTTTCTAAACGTCGCACTTTGGTGGCCAACTCCAAGGCAGTTTCCCCTACTTGGGGCATGTTGAAAGGGGACATTGGGTGTCATTTTCTCGGGGACCCCAAACAAAAGCATCGGTTTTCCTTTCGGTTTCCCCACAAAACCCAGCAAACCGGGGTGCCGTCAACCGCGGCGCACCCATAGGGCCCAGCCCGTCCGAACGGATCAGCGTCGCTCCTTTGGGCCGAGCGGCTCGGGCTCCAGGGCTCGGGACATCAGCGCCTCGCTGAGCAGTGTGGACAGGTGCGGATCTCGGAGGCAGACGGCGAAGGGGACCCCGACACACGCCCTGTGAATGTGTCTTGTGTTGGGGGGACCCCCCACCCGCCCCCCCAAAAAAAAAGTCAAACTGTGGGGTTGCTGTGGGTTTCCCTTGAAAACAGCCACAAAGCAGGTACCATTTGACCCTCAACATAAGACAACAAGTACCCGCATTGCATGGCGCTGTTTGGCGGGTACTCCTGTCGCGGGGCCTTGGTTGTAGTCTGGCGGCATTGGTGCATCGGTGTAACCTTGCGGGGGCGTAGCTTTTGACCACCCTTTTGGCTGAAACTAAAGGCTCAACCACTAAAGTGGTCGTTCAATGAGAACCCAGGATTAACAACCCCGTTGACTGATTTGGTGGTGTGCCATTTCAGAGCGACTCCTCTGATCTTCCCCTATTCCACCGGGTTTTTCTCGGGTTTGACATTTCTTCGGGGGAGCTCCCTTTTCTTTGAACCAAACGGCCCTGGGGGGGGGGGGCAACGGTTGGCCCCGCCTTGCCCAGGTACTGGTTCTCCCAAGAGGGCCAGTGGCACCTTCTGGCATGCGTTGACGAGCTTCGTGAGCGTTCGATTGAAAGATGAATTCAAGAGTGGATAGCGGTAGATACAATTCGAAGGGTTTTCTGAAAATGAACATATTCATTTTTAGAAATGCTAGTAGACTAAGTCCAAATGCAAACTAATTGTCCAAATACTTTTCTGCGAAAATCAAGGGCAGACCAAAGCTTGAAGAGTTGTCTTTGGTTTCCTTTACCTGAGTTTCTACCCTCGGATGGGGTGGTGGCAAGCCAAGTCACATTGTGGTTGGACCTCGGAGGGTTTCACTATTTGATTGCCCGTCAGACTTAAACCCATTTGACAAAACCTCATTGGTATGTATACGCATCCAAGGATTCTTAGTCTGCCAATTGGTTGTGTCCGTGCTCGGGTTCCCGTGTGCGGACATATCCAGAAAATAATTGCATGTCAATCGGATCGATTCCCTGAGGCGAGGAATCCCCAGTAAAATGGCTCGCACGTATTTAGCTGCCGTTTCCTTGCGCTGGCAACTGAAGGCCACTTGCGTCCACTTGGTCCACTTGGCCACTTGGTCCGCCTGCTCCCTGCAAGTGGACAAGTGGCCGTGGCCCAAGTCACTCAAGCCAAGTGGACCAAGTGCAAAGCCATTTGGCCACTTGTACCAAGTGGCCAAGTGGCCAAGTGGCCAAGCAAGTGACAAGTGGCCAGCCGAAGCCATTGGCCACTTGCTCCCCAAGTGGCCAACTGGCCGAGGTTATTTGGCCACTTGCTTTTTGACCAAGTGACCAAGTGGCTGTAAACAACGGACGCTAGGATGAGGGGTCAGGTTGTTCAATTGTTCACCCCAATTTGAACAAGGGACATGCCTGCAACGATAAGGATCGCGTAGTTCATCTTTTCCCAGCCTCTGGGCATCTTTCTCGAAGTGCCCCACACAAGTTTGTCCAAGCTTGGAAGTAGAAACCCCTTTGCCAACATCACCTCTGTGTGTGGGCCCTTCCATGCTTGGACATCTTTGGCACACTCCTGCACGCCAACATCGACCCTCTTTTCCCAGGCATGTTATATCTCTCGTACAAAAACTGTTTGTCTCTACCCTACATAGTTTTATCTTCCCCATGCAACTATCTCTTTTCTCTTTATCCATATGTTCTATTTACTCTCCGTGTCTATGTGCAAATGTTATCTTTGTCTATCGTTCTATCAATCGTTCTATCCACCCCTCCATCCGTCGATCTATGTTCGTTGTCTCCCAATCTATCTTACTATCGCTTTTCCTCTTGATCTCGAAGGTTTCTCTCTCTCTCTCTCTCTCTGTTACAGCACACCTGTCTCTCACCCTACCTACATAACAATACCTCTCTCTATCTGTAAAACTAGCTCCCTCTCTCTCTCTCTCTTTTTCTCTTTTTCTCTTTTTCTCTTTTTCTCTTTTTCTCTTTTTCTCTTTTTCTCTTTTTCTCTTTTTCTCTTTTTCTCTTTTTCTCTTTTTCTCTTTTTCTCTTTTTCTCTTTTTCTCTTTTTCTCTTTTTCTCTTTCTCTCTTTCTCTCTTTCTCTGTCTCTTTCTCTGTCTCTTTCTCTGTTTTTCGCTCTCTCTCGCTCTCTCTTTCTCTTTCTCTTTCTCTTTCTCTTTCTCCCTCTCTCTCTTGTTCTCTCTTTCGCTCTTTCTCCATCTATTTTTCTATCCGTCTTTTTTCTATCTCAACCTTTCGGTCTGTCTCTGTCTCTGTCTCTGTCTCTCGGTGTCTCTCTCTCTCTCTCTGTCTCTGTTGCTGTCTGTCTCTGGCTCTCTCTCTGTCTCTTTGTCTCTGTCTCTCTGTCTCTGTCTCTGCCTCCGTCTGTCTGCCTTTCTGTTCGATCTATCCATTTTTCGTAGAAGTTTCAAGGAATGAAGCGAACAAGTGAACCGCACGTGTTTACCTGACCCCTTGGTCACTTGGCCACTTGGTCTACTCAAAGAAATCTACCATACTGTGAGCGAGACACGTTGCTGATGCAGAGATGCTTCCGTGATTGTGCGTGAGTTTTGCAGACAAATGAAGATAACTTTACGCAGCGATTACTGCCCCGGGTTCCGCGCGCCCTGAGCCGCTAGTTTTTGTTGACCGCGGTTCCGAATCATAGGCAGGTTTCATGATCAGGTGATTTCGGGTGACTGCATTTCCAAAGCAGGATGAGTGATCTGAGAACTCAAAAGACAACTCAAAGAGACCATCTCGTCGCCAGGTCAGTGAGCAACGTGCCCTCTATGCTCGGGGTTTGCTTTGCAACAACCAGGGACCTGTACAGCCCAAATATCCCGCGCCCTTCAAAGGTTAGGGGTTCATGAAGCCAAAATACTCCTTTTCTTTGATTGAAGGTTTTTCTTGGTGGTTTCCCAGGCTTCTCAGTGGATGTCAGGCCAGTGGTGGTCTTTGCAGACAACGCATCAGCCAAGTACCAGGACCGGTGGACTGGTGTCGGTGGCTGGCCAGGAAGGGGATAAGCACGTCTATGGCAACTAGGGCAGTTGGAAAAAGTTGTTTGGAGGATGATAGATGGGTGTTTCTCAAAAGCAACCAATTCTTTCAACTGGGTTCCCTTTGGTTTCCCGCCATACCAACAGCCGGCCTCGACGCGCCGCAAAACGGGGGGGAGGCAAAGACCCTTGCCAGTATGGTGGACACTTCGGGCCTAGGTTGCAACCCGTTTTTTTTGGGTACTGAGTTTTGAGGGTTTCAATCTGCAAGATAGACTCTCAGTGTCTAAGGCACGGGGGAGATGTGTGTCTGTGTGTGCGTGTGCGCAGTTGATTGCCGTGCAGTGGTTTATGGTTGGTGTCCCCCCTTTTGTCCGATTATCAAATCTTAAAACATCACTCAACGCAAAGGGAACTCACCTTCAATGGACCGAAGCTGCCTTCTCCTCCAAAACGATTTTGAGTTTGAGGGTAGACGAAATATGAAAGAGAGTGTGAACATACTGTATTCTGTGTACCCCTGAATTTGTGGGTCAAGAAACAAACTGATTTTTGGCTCGCAAAGGTGCAGTTAGTGACCCCAGCTCTGAGGGGGCAAAAGAAGCTGGCCGAGTTTCTTTGGCGTTGCTGGAAAAAAGGAGAGGCAATGCTTCTGACGTAAAACTGACACCAGTTGGGGGGAGGGGGAGGGGGTTTTGGTTTTGCGAGGGAGTGTTGTTTGAAGGTTCTCTGTTTGGGTGTTTGCGTTGGTTTAAAAAAGGGACACGGTTTTGGAGGTCCCGCTTTGACACAAACCCATTTGCGAAAGATAACAGTTGCGCAGGCGGTATACCCTGGCTCTCTTACCCGTATCTTCGGGGTCCCCGATTCTTCGGAATCTTCGGGTGTTTCACCCGGTCGACCGTAGGAGGCCAATCTGTCGGGCCACTTCCCGCACCTCGACATCCGGGCGGGCGCGGGGAGGGGGGGTGGGTGGCAGGTTGCATCTTTGTTCTGTCCAACTCCTCCCGGTCGCAGGGCTCGCCAAAAACCGGGATGTCTTTTCTTGTGTGCATTTTGCATCTTGAGGTCCAACAATAGGGACCAGAATGAAGGCACTATTTGGGGCGGGCAAAGCTGAGGTAGAAAAGGGGGCGCCAGCTTAAATTCTGGACAACTAATGGGCCATTTACTCCTCAAGGCGTTTGTCTTTGGCTTCCTCTCTTGGCTGTTTTGGTCTGAGACTTCATCACGCAAGCAGGCAGGCACAGGGCCTCTTTAGCTCATTTGGATTGGATCATGCATTCCTTACATATATGGTCAACGCCCACCCCAACTAAAGATGGAGTTATGGGAGGGCGGCGGTCCTGGCGATCGCCAAGCGCCAAACAACCTCGCTGAGAGCGGCAACCCTGCAACCCGGCTTACTGAAATTTACTTGTGGATACTTTGAGAGGGGCATGGTGGCTAGTGCATAATGTTCATTGGCATATCTTCTTTTGACTCGGTATTTAAAGATTTCGGTCCTTTGGCAACCGAAACGCGCTGGAAGCGGGGAGGTGGCTGTGATTGAGGAGGAGCACTTGCGATGGCGCGGCCCACAAGTTCGGAAGGGGCAATGGGCAAATGGGGGAAGCAAGGCAGCTACCCGGTCATATAACCTGGTCACGGGGTTTATGAAACTAGAACATGAACATGGGTGTTGCACGAAATTCTGGAGCCCTAGAAATGGCCCACAAATGGAGTGTTGACGACGGAGACACTTTACCAATCGGACCTGTGAACTGGTTGCTAAAAAGCACACATGTGTCTTGAGTCTTTACCCTGACCCGATATGTCGCCTCATCTGAGAAGGCGATGCTGCCTGCTGCATCAATTATCTTATTTCGTGGCTTCCTGAGAGCAGAACAGGAATTGCGCATGAGGCCATGACGAGCCAAACATTTACGGCAATCAGGGCTGTGAACAGGGGTAGAGAAGTAGGGTGTGGGAAAATGTAGGTTTCACTTGGGGCCTAGTCAGTCTTCAAAGCCTAAACAACGCCCCTTTTGGACCCATCTCATTTTGACACCAGACCATTGGTGTTTGATCCGGTGACCAGATTTCTTGCACTTAGCAGCCTTTTGTTTTGTAGAAGATTTGCTATGCAGGGTGCATTTGCAGCATAAGCCCGTGTTCCCTGTAAATGATCCCAACACATGGGCTCAGCTGGGTGGCTTCGATGACAAAAGACTCCTGGTGCATGTATATGAGCCTTCTTTTTAGAACCTCTGTCCAATCATGAGGAGCCTTTTCGAGAGGGTATTTTTCAAACCCTCCTGTCCATAGGGTAAACTCCACTTGGTGGACTTGGGTAGGCAGCGTTGCATGGCACTCTCTTCCCAGCGCTTGGGTGCATGTTACCACAAGCCTGCCTCGCAAGAATGCCGGCCGGTCGGCTCGCTCTGCAGGGCCTCCTCCCCAAACTTGCCATAGCCTGATAGACGACCACGAATATCAGTTGCCGATGCGTGCGACATCCATTTGTAGCAAAGGGGATGACAACTGGTGGAAAGCCAAATTAGGAGGAATTTAGCCTGCAACTCAGCGATTTCCGGTGCATGCGAAAATAACTCACCAAATTCCTATAGTGCCTTCACGTGCTTCTTATAGCAGGTAACCAGGGAACCGCCCCTGAACAAACTAAAACCGAAAATTGGCCGGTTGCCTGCAGAGGTTTTGGGTCTAGATGAGATCGGTGCCTTGGGTGGGCCTCGCGGCGTTTTCTTTTGGGCTGATGTTTAAGAGGGCAGTACAGGGATCTCGATCTGCCGTGCGATCCACATAGCTATCTCGTCTTATGGTCAATGTGGAAGGGACCGGGAGATGAACTCATAATTCATCCTGGTTATTTTTCGGCCGCCTTCTTCAGCTACGTTTGCTATCACGCAGTGTTCTTTTTTTTGCTGGGTGTTTGGTTTCGAGGGTGCTCAAGGTGTTCAGTTTCTTTAGAAGGTTTGCGGCTGCAAAAGCAGCATCTCCGCGTGTCGCCAGCCAGCCGAAGCCGAGGCCGATGGGAAATCGCAGCTGCTCCCAGAACTACAAGCGCGCCAGCCGCTTCACCGCGGGGCCGCTTTGGATGCACCAGGCGCGCAGGTGTTGGGGGGTGGGTGGTTTCCAAAGAGGAGGAGCAACTGGTTCGCCCTTTTTCGGGGTACCTCTGACAGGTACTGTAGGGTCCGCCAGATGAATCCAAACTTGAGATAAATCAAAACCTGCATGGATCGAGTTGAAGATGGGCAGTCCCAACCATGAATGGGTGCATTCATGGTTGCAGATATCCGCTTTGAACTCTTTAGTATTGGACGTCCTTCAATGTGTCCCCCCCCCGGGACAGTGGAACCAGTCACCAGGATCCTGTTTGGGCGTTGCGAGGGCAAACCGTGTCTTGACCCTTAGAGATTTCTTGGAATCCCCCAGCACATCAGAGGAGTGTTACCTGGGCCCCTAGCACGTGAAATTCGAAGGTTTCTGAGGGATTCCTTCTGAGGGATTCCTTGTGATTCGCTCGGTCCAAGTCGGACTCCAGGCCCTGGATAACTTCAGCCATGTAATGCTGGTAGACACTGAGCAGGGCGCCCCAGATACCATGAATCATGGAATTCTAAGTTGAGCTGTGGGAAGGGGGGGGCTATCCCCTTTACAAGCTTATCCTTGGCTTGTCCCTGGCTCATCCAGGGATAACCCCTCCCCCTAGCCTGTAAGGGGTCCATGAAGATAGAACTCTGGATCAAGATGGGTGTTGAGCATATTTGCCCAGCGAACAGCAACCACGGTTGTTTGCCGTCTTCAAGCCGGAGCTTGGAAGAAGTGGATCTCGAGCCCACTTCCAACAGGGGCAATTGAGATACATATATATATATATATACATATGTATATGAGGCGTAATCAATAGGTGTGTTCTGCTTTTGGGTTTAAGGCACCGTTGGGCCCTCAACATTCGACATGTTTGCTTCCTCCTGCGCCGTAATCCAGAGAGTTTGAGACAATTTATTTATACGTGAAAAAGCATGGCGCAGCTCCCCTTGTTTGGGTGCCAACCATGAGGGATGATCGTGGCATCTACTTTCACCCACTGGATTTATGTGCTAAGTTTTCAAGTCTTGATAGTGCGGAATTGCTAGAGCGCCAACACCTCCCCCATGTCAGAGCAGCCAATGAGCAGGGAAATGAGAAAAGCAGGGATATGCGAGGATTCCCGTGACATGCACCTGGACTTAGTTTGGAGGTTTAATGGGTTCGAAGGGAATATTGTATTCCCGCTTCCACATCCCCGCTAGTTTTACCCAAATATTTGAGCAATAAGATCGGTTTCCAAATGAAAGGGAAACTATGCATTGCGTGGATTTTCCTGGAGTCAAACCCATCCAGTTGTACCCTTGCAGGCCTCTTCTTAAAACATGGGCAAACCCCCAGAGCAAAATGTGTGGTTTCTGAGAGAACGTGTGAGACAGGAGAATCAACCCCAGACCCGACAGTCCCCATGAGTTTGTCTCAAAATTGGGGATCCAAAAAATGGCCAGGGTTTCCTTCTGGCTTCCCTTTGAAGCCCTTATTCAAACGGGTTTCAAAGAAAGGCCAATGACATGCATAAAATTCCGGAAGCCGCCCGCCAAACCCGCGAGGTTCGTGTTGAGCCACCGGGTGGATTGGGACCCGTTGGGCCGGATGTTCGAGGAGGATGTGGCGCTGGGCTACTGGCAGACCCACTACGACGCTCGCCCGGTTCTGTTGGAAACTCCCCCTTTGGGGGCAGGCCCCTTTCACATGGGCCAATGGGTCTGTCTCAAAGGGGAACTCGTTTTGGGACGGTTCTAAAAGATAGGCAACCAACCTGAAGGATTTGTTCCGCAATTTTGAGCAGGCATTTTGTTGGGGGACCTTCCCCGGTGTTTTTTGCGGAACGGACCTGCTCTTTTGGGCAAACATGCGTGTTCGACTTCCCGGCACGAGGAGCAAAGCTGGGAGCGCACCTTGTACCTCACAGAGGTGTCCAAGCGGTTTATGGCCGGCAGAAGCCTTCAGCCTCAGGCGCCAGAGCTCGTCCGGATTCCGCGGTTTTCCATGTCCTCAAAATGGATTTTGGACGCCCTTTTCAGTTGGTCTTTAAAAGGAAACCAAAAGGACGCCGACGATCTTAGGTCGCCAGTGGCTATATGGTGGGGGTATACCGGTATACCCACGTGTCTCCTTTTTTGAACTGCCCCTTCAGGATTTGGAGGTGCCCCAAAAAGGAGACAGGGAAGCTCCAAACGAAGCCTGGAAGTGGATGGCTTCCCCTTGGTTTGCCTTTACCACCACCAAAAAAAAACCTCCACGACGCCGGAGGTGGACAGAAGGTCTTTTTGAGCTGGTGGTCTTCCGAACCGCTCCCTTCCATGATTGAAGAGTGGGTTATTCCAGCCTGCTTAGGGGAAGTTTTACTTTCGTACCACAAGTGGCCAAAGAAGTTGAAACGTTTTCCCCCTCCGCCTTTTGGTTGATTCAAAGTGAGTTGCCTTCTGGGGTGATGTTTTCGACGCAAAGGAATCTTCTCCCTAGATCAATGGGTTTCGGGTGCCCGGCGCAGATTCCGGAGCTTGTCAGCTACTGGTGGGATGAGCGTGAGGCGGGCGGGGAGTTTTCGACTGCAAAACGTGTTTTCCTCTTCTCGCCACAGCGGTGGAAAGTCGAACGGATGGTTGCAGGTCGAGCTAAAGCGAGACCAAGTGAAGAGTCTTCTCCAGGGGTGCTTTTTGTTCGTTCTTGTTTGTTGTGGCCGGGCATTCAACGGTGGTTGCAGCCGGGATTCCCTTCAATTTCAACCCCGGTGCCAGGGACGTGCAGGGCTGTTCCGAGGGTTCGGAAGAAAAAGGCCAAGCAATGGCAAACAAGCTGCGCGGGTCTTTTGGATCGATTCCCTGCTTCCAGGTTCCCCTGTTGGGAAACTCGTGCGAGTCACTGACAACCTCATTGGTAGTCTACTGTTGCTTTGCGGAGAACTCGACGGGCGTTGGTTGTGAATGTGTTTGTTTGGAGCGCGGAAACAGGAGGGTCCCTTGGCACTCTCAAAGCAACTTGTGGCATGTTGCTCGAAGGATGCGTCGGTCGGGGCACTTTGGCTCAATTTCACGCACTTTGAGAAAGCAATATTCTGTGTGCTAAACAGCCAATACTTTCTAGTTTACACAGACGGAAACCAAAAGGGGATAGGCAATTGTTCAATTCTTCCTCACCCCTAGTTAGCCCCGCAGGTTCTTTCTGCCTATTTAGTTCTTTCTCTATCCCAGAAAAGGGTCCAAGCATCTAAGGTGGCACTTTGACCCTTTTCAAGCCCTCAGCAGTGGTAACCTTCTTCCTTTCGTTTGGCACAACTTTAGAAAGGGTTCCCTTCCAGGATCACTGGTTGCAACTGGGTTTTTCAGAATCCGTATTTGGTGTTCCTTTGTTGATAGCCTGTGCTACATCCGTGCAAACTTGTTATTTTTATTGTTTCCGGGGGTTATCAAAATCACGACCCTTTAGCTTACCACTTTTGGGCAACTTGGTAAAGAATGGACTCAGTCAAAGCAGAACGGTATTTGGCGACCGCCGAAAGCTCAGAAGCCAAAGAAACGCCGTGGGGTCCCGTGGGGGCTGGCCTAGTCAACAACTAGGGCTTTTCCGAGCCTCGATCGAACAAAATCATCCAGGTCTATTCCCCAGAGTAACATGCAACCCAAAAATGGTGTCGCCAAATAAGCCGATTGGTTCTTGGTTTTCCATGTTAATCCGCAGGGAGTGAGGAGTGTAATCATTGGGGTATTTGTGCTTTGTCGAGGCTACCTGGCTAGGGGGTTGTTTGCAAGAAGACAGAAGGCCCACCCAATCCCGGAGAAAGGATTTCAGCGCTCCGGAACATCTACGGGAAGTTCGCCAAAGGGGTGTGGGTCAACATCGGGGGATCACTGAATCACTGGGATCCCAAAAGTGTTTGTTTTCTTTCCTTTGGTTTCTCATTAAACCAACAATAAACAAGGTGTACCCAGAAAGCAGAAAGCAGACACCCAAATACCTACCACACATGGGTTCCAAGCCATTCGTCAGGTTCCGGGGGGCTCCTTGCCCGTAAACATTTACGGGTGCCTCTTGGCGGGCTCCATGGCCTTCTTCCGCTCCGAGCTCTATCAGAGCTACTTCCAGGCACGTTTTCGGGCAGCAACGAAAGGGCGGTTTGGTCGAAGGTTGGAGCCTTTCTGCAAAGAGGTTGGCATAGGCTTGACAAAGATGCATAGACGCATGTACATTGCATGTAAACATAGACATTAAATATAGTACATACAGTACATACAGTACATATAGTACATACAGTACATACAGTACATACAGTACATAGAGTACATATAGTACATACAGTACATACAGTACATACAGTACATACAGTACATAGAGTACATAGAGTACATATAGTACATACAGTACATACAGTACATACCAGTACATATAGTACATACAGTACATACAGTACATACAGTACATAGAGTACATATAGTACATACAGTACATATAGCACATACAGTACATAGAGTACATATAGTATATGTAGTACATCCAGTACATACAGTACATACAGTACATAGAGTACATATAGTACATACAGTACATACAGTACATACAGTACATACAGTACGCATAGTACGTATAATACATATAGTACATACAGTACATATAATACATAGAGTACATCTAGTACATACAGTACATACAGTACATACAGTACGTACAGTACGCATAGTACATATAGTACATATAGTACATAAAGTACATATAGTACATATAGTACGCACAGTACGCATAGTACATATAGTACATATAGTACATATAGTGCATACTACATGCATACATACATGCATACGTACATACATAACATAAAATAACATATCAGAACAGAACATGACATAACATGACAGCATAATAGAACATGCATAACATACATAGCACACATAACATACACAACATACATAACATATATAACATACATAACATACATAGCATACATAACGCACTTAATATACATGACGTACATAACATACATCAATACAATGCAATACAATACAATACAATACACTACAATGCAATGAACACCCTACAATACAACACAATACAATACAACACAACACAACACATACATACGCACATACATACACACACATACATACATCGATACCTGCATGCATGCATACATACGTACATGCATACACACATACACACATACATACAGACAGACAGACAGACAGGCAGGCAGGCAGGCAGGCAGGCAGGCAGACAGACAGACATACCTACGTACACACTTAAACTCCAGATGGAGGGTGCTAATCCTTTCGAGTACAACTGATGAGTCTCGAGTACAACTGATGAGTCTCGAGTACAACTGATGAGTCTCGAGTACAACAGATGAGTCTCGAGTACAACTGATAAGTCTCGAGTACGATGAGTTTCGGCTCGCAATGCACTTGGTTTCCGTGGGCAAAGAGGGGACCTTGTTGGGGCGAGTCCTCCAGCTGCCCACGACGGGGCCCAAGAGCGACTCGATGCAGGTACATAGCTGAGCGTCCCCCCACCTCCCTTCCAGTGTCCTAGCTTCATTGGATCAGGTCAGTCACTGGGAGCCTGATCCCCCTGCTGTCGTGAAAAAAGGGGATTGTATGGTGGCAGGGTATTCTGCCACTCCGCACACACACACGCCCCTCAAAGAGGGGCGAGAAACACTTCTTCGGGGGGGAGAAGAAGCGCCCGAAAGACGGACGAAGACCCCAACAGAAAACAAACGGAGCAAGCACCCAAAAGAAACAGAAAGCCCCGCGTTGGGTCTCCGCGGGCAAAACCCCAACCAAGAAACACGAAAAACAGGGGAACCCGAGTTTTAGGGTCACCGCCGAGGGCAAAAACCCCAAACAGCCCAGAAACCCTCCTAAACCTGGAAGACGACCACCGCCGCAAAGTTGAAGACCGAGAAGAGGACCAGGCCATCCCTAAACGGGCGAAGAGGAAGAACAGGAAGTAGTTGGAAAAAGGGGGGGGGAGGAAACGAAAGAAAGGAAGAGAGAAAGAGAGAAAGAAAGAAAGAAGGAACGAAAGAAAGAACGAGAGAGAGAGAGAGAGAGAGAGAGAGAGAGAAAGGGAGAGAGAGAGAGAGAGAAAGCGTATTTAGGGCGTCGCAACCGCCCGGGTGAAAAAGAAAGGAGCAGGGTGCGTATTTAGGGCGCCGCATCCCGCCCGGGAAGAAGGAAAAACGAAGAGAGAGGAGGAGGAGAGAAGGAGAAGGGAACAGGAGAAAAGGGAAGGAAACGAGAGAAGGGGAGAAGGAGAAAGAGGGAAAGAAAGAAGAAAGAAAGAAAGGAAAGAGGGAAAGAAAGAAAGAAAGAAAGAAAGAAAGAAAGAAAGAAAGAAAGAAAGAAAGTAAGTGTGCGTATTTAAGGCGACGCATCCCGCCCAGAGAAACACGAGGACAAAGCCAATGCTCGAGGAAGAGGGCGTCGAATCCCGCAGAGGGGCCATGAGGAAGAGCGAGATGAAGCAACGGTAGGGAACGAAGACGGCAAGCCAAACAGCGCGAGGGGACCGAGGACCACGAACAAATAGGCAAACAAGAAGAGGACGACGACGAAAAAGGCAAACAACGCGGCAGAGAAGAAGCCATCCCTAAACGGGCCAAGAGGAAGAACAGCAACACGCGGAAGACGGAAGGCCGGAAGAAGAAACGGGAGGAAGGAGAAGCCATCCCTAAACGGGCGAAGAGCAAGACGACGGACACGCGGACGACGAAGGCGAGGAGGGAGGGTGAAACGTAGCTATGAAGAGGTGGCTGTCTTCCCTTTAGTGAAACCTCGTTCCTGGTTAAATGTGAAATTCCGCTGATCTATGATAAGCACGTTGAGGTCAAATTTTCCGACAGAGCCGGCCCGGGGTCACACAATGGGTACACCCGAGGATTCCCCACGAATGGGGTGTACACACTTAAACTCCAGATGGAGGGTGCTAATCCTTTCGAGTACAACTGATGAGTCTCGAGTACAACTGATGAGTCTCGAGTACAACAGATGAGTCTCGAGTACAACTGATAAGTCTCGAGTACGATGAGTTTCGGCTCGCAATGCACTTGGTTTCCGTGGGCAAAGAGGGGACCTTGTTGGGTGCAGGTACATAGCTGAGCGTCCCCAGCCACCTCCCTTCCAGTGACCTAGCTTCATTGGATCAGGTCAGTCACTGGAAGCCTGATCCCCCTGCTGTCGTGAAAAAAGGGGGTTGTATGGTGGCAGGGTATTCTGCCACTCCGCACACACACACACATACATACACACATACACACACACACATGCTCACATACACAGACATACAGATATACACACACATGTATCCATCCATCCATCCATCCATCCATCCATCCATCCATCCATCCATCCACCCATCCATCCATCCATCCATCCATCCATCCATCCATCCATCCATCCATCCATCCATCCATCCATATGCACATACATACACGCATACAGCCATATACACTTACACAGATACGCACATACACACATACACACACATGCATAACTACATGCATACGTACATACATACATGCATACACACATACATACATGCATGCATGCATGCATGCATGCATGCACGCATGCATGCATACATACGTACATACATACATGCATCCAGAAATGCATGCATGCATACGCACATGCATACAGACAGAGAGACAGAGAGACAGAGAGACAGAGAGACAGACAGACAGACAGACAGACAGACAGACAGACAGACAGACAGACAGACAGACAGAGACAGACAGACAGACAGACAGACAGACAGACAGAAAGACAGACAGACAGCGAACATACCTCCGTACACACATACATACACACATACATACACACATACACACACATACACTCACACATACACAAACATAGACACATATACACATTTGCACACATACACACATACACATACACACGCATATACATACATGGTTTTTGGAGGACTCAGACAAGTTGCCCACTTTCACCACTTCAAGACCTCGGGCATTTCCAGGGCATAGGCTGGCAGGATTGGACAAGTGCAGTTCGTCGGAACGGCATAGAAGAGGACTCCTACAGATGTCCGCCCTAATATTCGCGAGCGGGAGGCCATCATGGGTTTTCCAGTGAACTATACCGAAGGTTGTCTCCCCAAATCCGGGTTCACGGATGTTCAAAAGAATGATGCGCGATTGACTTTGATTGGCAACTCCTGGAATGTGACGGTCATCACGTTTTTGTTGAGCTGCTTGGGTTCTATCCTGGGTTTGTGTGCGCAAATGAGCCCAGCGCAAGCAGTGGAGGCGACCAAGTCAGGATCGGGATCCAGCTTTATGAACTTGTTGCAGCGACCTCCTTTTTTCTTTTCTCGCAAGCGTGCCTCCTGCAGTGAGGAGATATCTTTGGCCAAGAAATTTATGAACCACGTCAGTCTCAAAGGCGAGGACATCTTGGTTCACTCCTCTGCTGAGGAACAGCTCAACTTCCATCGGCTACGTGCTAGTATTCCTGCACAGTGTTGGAGGTGGAAGACAGTTGCAAGCTGGGCATGGACCGGGGATGCTGAGCATATCAACTGTCTTGAACTGCGGGCTATTTTAACTAGTATCCGTTGGCGGGTTGAAAGACAAAAGGTTTGTCGGGGCAAGTTTATTCACCTCACCGACAGTTTGGTTTGCACGCATTCACTTGCTCGAGGGCTTTTATGCTATGTTTCGTACTGGCGAGATCTTGGGTATTCTTAAATCCCACGTGTCTACTGGTCACGGGCTCGCCCCTGCTGTCATCTCCTTGGGGCTGACAAAAGGGGGAAAGCGCCAAGGTGCTGCTGAAAGTGTTACTGTGGGCGTCACTGGTGTGATCCGCTGTTTGGTCCAGTGGAAGGAGACCACATCTGTCTGCCCCAAGCTGTGTGCTGCGCCCCAGACGTGGCGGAAGACCTTTGCCCAATATTTGTGCGATCTGCGCTTGGAAGACATTGGTTTTCGTCCATACAGTTTAAGACGTGGGGGGGGGGGGGTGCAACCTTCTGGTTCAGAAAACATGGTTCTCTGGACAAGATTTTAATCCAGGAACGGTGGCAAGCACAAAAAACCGCTTGAATCTATCTAAATGAAGGACTCGCGGTTCTTGCCGAGTTGAAGCTCCCGCAGCATCGGGACACAGCGGTGTTTCGTGCTCAGTATGTAAAGGCGGTCAAAGTCCCACTGCCGAAACTTGAGCGAGCCTGCGGCAGGACTGGGGGACGTGGAATGAAGGTAAAAGAGTTGGTCGAGGGGTAATCCGACCGTTTTCAAACCGCTGCAAGGAGGCAGCCAGTGATTCTTAAAAGGAGTCGAGGGAAATCCGACTCACAGACTGAAACCCCCCTTGAAGGTACTGGGCTTGGCCAGTCAGACAGGGGGAAAGTCTAACGTCAAGGCTGGGGCTGGGGCTTACCTGGGCTTGGCCAGGAAGACCCCGGGGTCTTGAAACTCCCTTGGTAGGGCAGGGCTATTTTCAGATTCTAGCTTTTCAAGTTTTATCAGACAAATCTGGTCTTGAGCCAGAATGAATCTTTGATATAACGTCCCGGTGTTTAAAGATGAATTCGGTTTGCATGTCCGCGAGATTTCGGCTTCATGTGCCCGCCCTCCCGCCCAGGGAATGAAGGTTCAAAAAGAGTTGGTCGAGGGGTCACCCGACCGTTTTCAAACCGCTGCAAGGAGGCGGCCAGTGATTTTTAAAAGGAGTCGAGGGGAAATCCGACTCACAGACTGAAATCCCCCTTGAAGGTACTGGGCTTGGCCAGTCAGAAAGGGGGAAAGTCTAACGTCAAGGCTGGGGCTGGGGCTTACCTGGGCTTGGCCAGGAAGACCCCGGGGTCTTGAAATTCCCTTGGTAGGGCAGGGCTATTTTTCATATCTAGCTTTTCAAGTTTTATCAGACAAATCTGGTCTTGCAGCGCGGAAAAAGGCAAGCCAGAATGAATCTTTATATACGCACATACATACATATACACACACACATACACACATACACACATACACACATACACACATACACACATACACACATACACACATACACACATGCATACCTACAGGCATACATGCATACATACATACACACATGCATAAATGCATACTTACATACATAGGTACATTGCAGACATGTACAGATGGATGTTCGCCTATCATTTTTGTCAGCCATGTATTGGGAAAGCATGGGTGTATTCGTGCAACGCGACACGCCCTTGTCTTTAAACAGGGAGACCCCGTGTTTTGTTTGGGTTTCCCTGAAAGCCAACCCTCAAAAACACAGGAGACACAGGATCTCTTTGGATCAGAATTAGGTACATTTGTTTGGGTTGGGCAAATGCCCCCGGATCACATTTGTGGCTGGTCTCTTTCACCCAACCCTCAACAAAACAGGACCCTTCCCCCCAACAAAAGGGGGGAGAACAACCATGCACTTGCCACGTTTAAACAGTTTTTCAACCAAACAGGGCCAACCCATCCTAGCCCCAAAAATCAGTGGACCCCAAACAAATCCCTTTCCAGCCAAGAACATCGGCCTCACAATCGGGGGGCCCAAGAATCCCTTCATAGCCACCCCAACCCCCCACCCCCCCAATCCCCCGCAACCCCGTGCCTTGGCTCCGGTTAGGAGCTGGACCGTTGGCCCGGCTTCGACGAGCACTGCTGGTCCGTGCAGAGCGTCCTGGCCATCGCGGCCGCTTTCCTCCTGGATGACCGGCGGGTTTCGGAGCTCTGGGTCTACGGCAGGCGGTCTTCGGAAACCCAGGGACGGGGGGGGGGTTATGATTAAAAGTTGGGGGATTAATCATGGGGCGATCAAGTTTGACAGATTTCAGGCGTTGCCAAGATGCTGGCTTTTTTGAGGTTTGTTTCTCGGAAATTAGAGGGCAATTTAGGGCAACTGGCTCAGAATTGTCAAGTTTCCCAGAAAAATAGAAAAAGTAAAAGGATCGGCAACTGTGCAATATGTCCAGACTCCCTGTTTAACACAGACTACGCTTCATGAAAGCATGAAAGGCGTAGCTTGTGCATGAGTTGGCTGCAGGCCATGAGCCATGTTTAATGCCTCGCTTTCTTCACAGGGCGACGCGGGGCAAGCAGAGCCTGCCAGGCACCAGAACAGCTCAAAGACGCCGCAAGAGGGCTGGAACGACGCCAAGCGGCGGACAGACTGACATTGCCCTCATCGCATTCATCGCCCTCGCCCTCAGCGCCCCAGCGCCCTCAGCCCCCAGCCCTCAGCCCTCAGCCCTCAGCGCCTCAGCCAGCCGCCTGCCACAAGCCGTTTTGGAACCCGCCTACTCCCTGTGTGCCGGCGCATGGAAGGAGAATGCTTCCCTCGGGCCCAGGCCAGTCCATGCGAGGGAGCGAGCGGAGTTGCGCCCTTGACGCGGAGGAAAAGAAGCCAAAATGGTAAGCGCCAGCTAGGGCAGCCAAGGTCTGAGCTCAGAGTTTTTTTTGTGCGCGGAACTTGCCGGCCAGATGCCTGGCTATGGCTCTGCTTTTCGGCTCAAGCAAAGAAAGCGCAGCTTTTTTGCGTGGCATTGTGGCAACAAGCATTGGGCTTTGTGATCTGCTGTTGGTCAATCAGGCAACGTGCTTTGCCGAGTTTGTGCGGTTCAACAAACAGGGCACTTGTTCAGAACCTCTTCTGAACCAAGAGGAGAAGGCAGGCGTAGGGTTCCTCGCCGTGCAGAAGCCTGAAGTCCGTCCACAGCTTCTTTTGCTGAGATTTCATCTAGTTGGGGGTTGTTCAGCGCCAAAGGGGGACGAAGTACTGCAAGCCATTCTGGGACAAGGACGTCAAAGCGCTTGGACAAATCGAGTTGTGTTGGTTTCCGTCCCAGGCATTTGCAGATAGCTGAGTTTGATCGGATGTTTGACTGAGTCTTAGGGCCAGAGTGTCAGAGCGCGTTTTTGACCCTCTCAAACCAGATCGCCTCTTTGGGACATCCCGAGGGTTCACTCCCCTGCAAATGAACCTGGAACCCACCCACGAAACTGTTTAATTCCCACTTGAGGTATGTAGCTCATCTACTTCAACGCCCCCAGTTTGTCTCTCCGTGTGGCCAGCCCAGATTATTCCAACCCCTTTCCATGGTTGGCAACACATTTCCTGGTTTGCTTTCTTTTGGATTGCTTTTGAAGGGAGCGGTTTCCCCGGGAAACCAAGCATTTTACAGGGCTGGGGATGCCTGTCATAGATTTTGCGGAGTACCATAACGAAGGCGATTGCGACATGTGCATTGAAATACCACAACCACAAGAGGGTTACGCCCAAAAACAGACACTCCTAGCTTGCCTCGAGTATTCGCCGATCCGCCTTCTTTCGCCGTGAGGCGATGACGGAGGCGCGGCTCCAGCTGCTCATTGCGGGTCCATTTGAGAATGCCCGTTAATATTTGCGTATTTGTTGGAGGGACACCACCCCCAAAATGGTGTTGCGTTCCTTCCATGTCCCCAACCAGCACAATAAACCGCTAAAGAACCGCAGGTAATCAGGGTGGCATGCATAGTCTCTTCTGATGGCTTAAGTTGGTTTCAAAGTACCCCACAACTTCAATCTTTAAATTAGACCCATGGGTTGATTGATTGCAGACACTTGGGTTTCATTCTACCCTCCGGGTCGGTGGCCGTGGTTTGTTCGCAATGAGCTACATGAGGGGCCAAACAATTGCTTTTTTTGCTGCTGCGATCATTGCTTTGGTTTTCAAGCCACAAGCCCATACTTATTTAGCCCATCGTATGTGTCAAAGCTCGGGATAGACCCCTGGGTCTTTTTCAGCGGGCGATAGTCATGGTAAGGCCAGGTCAGGCTTTGGGAGTCGACGGCAACCTCGCATGAATCTGGGCAAACTAGAACGATCTCGCCGAGCAAACGAGCTCACTCATGAGGGATTCCATGATTTCCGGTTGGGGCATAGTACTTTGCCCAGATCGATCAACCTCTTGTGGGATTAGCAGGGTGTATCGGTGTATCCCGTTGAAAGATTCTTGTCTCTTTGGGGAACACCACGGATTCAGGTATTGATTCTGGGTCGACATTTCCCTACCGCTGAGCTAGCGAGATCTCTGGGAAACCTGGAGTTGTTGGAAGCCATGAGTTGGGCGCGTGACGCGACATGCCATGCTCAAAAGGCCGGTTCCTTTGCTTGGGGTTAACAGGGATTGTCATCCACCTGGTAGCTTAAATCTTAACCACTATACTGATCCTTATTGAGGGAGCCAAGACAATAGGCCAAGCAAGCCGAGTTTTGACCATGGCACATAGAAATGGGTCCAAAAAGGGATTTCCAAGATGCAGGATGGTTTTCCCTCCCGGCTTTCCTCCAAGCCCAGCCCAAATGGGGCCCCACACTCTAGGCAACGCACATATGCCCGAGCCCAGGCTTTTCTTGGCGGATTGGTGGCATAGATTTGGGTCCAAAGTCTGACATCCGCAAAGCAACACTGCAAATTGTGCCTTGTGTTCAAGGAAAAGAGTCTTCCACCCCCTATGAGGTTCCATGTTGGTGGACGGGAGGGTATAAGACTTCAAAATGTACCCAGTTTGCGGGACCCAGCAACGGGTTTCTCCCAAACGAGCCGACGAGAACTGTTGATTTGATCCTACATGTGCAAAGGGCTCACCCCTGGAAAAAAATAACAAGTTGTATGAGATTCATTGTAGAACATGGGCATGCAGTCCCTTCTTTTGCTCTTTCTTGTTCTGCATCTTCTGATTTGTTGGTCTGTTTTTTTTTTTTTTGTGGAGCCCTTTTCAACAACCAGGTCGGCCGTTGTTTCCCCTCGCAAAGAACACAGTTGGAACTTCGAGGCAAAGGAAGAGGAGGAACAGGAGGTCGAAGAGGCCGTCGAGGCGGCACGCTTCGACCGGATCGCCTCATGAGCAGCGCCCAAGCGCCCAAGCAGCGCCCATATATACATATATATATATATATAAACAATAAGAACCCATGAAACCCAAAGTCAACCGATTTTGGGCGCTGCTCAAATCAAGCGTGCTGCTTGCCCCCCGGTGTTTGGAGATGTGACACACCTTTTTAGGCATGCTTCTCTGTGCCTCAGGACGGTTCGGAGAAGTGGCATGACTGGCAAAATTGGATACGCAAATGGAAATCTGTCTGTACTGCAACAACATGCTGTGAACTATGCTCGCCGGTGCTGTGTTTCTATCTCGGGTTGGATGATGCTTTGGCAGAAGCAACAGATGCATTGGTCAGGCAAACGGAGAGGAGAAGAAGAAAAAGAAGAAGCGCCTCGGTCAGGAAAATGTTAGTCTGCGACTGCGTAATTTGTTGGGTGCAGGTCAGCGAGGGTGAGAGCCTCAGACACTTCACCATAGCTTTCAACTCTTTGCCTCTGTGGTTTGCTTTCATTCCCGCTTTCAGCAAATGCGGGTCTAGGTCTGGCGACTCGTATGCGTGCTCTGGCTTCACCCGAGGAACAAGAAGAAGAAGCCCAAGCAAGGCCAGAGGGTCGGTTTTTGTCATCTCGCCCGCGTCTTGGTAAAGCCACAATCGAAACCCGTATGAGGGAATAGTCTGAACCACTGCCGCGCCATTCTTGTTACACATGGTTTTTGGCAGAGCATTTAACACATTATGTTTTGTTTATGACTCATTGGGCCGATTCTTTTGTCCTCAACACGGAAGGCGACGCGGAGGGAGAGGAGGAGGAGGACAGCGTCGGGATTGGCTCGCTCTCACTCACCAACACTCACCAACACTCACCAACACTCCCTCACACTCACTCTTTGTCTGTCGCATCAGTTGAATGTGCCTGGCTGGAAATGGTGTGATCGGATGGCCCCTTAGACCTTTGGTTGGAAGCAAACTGCTTTTGCATTAAACCTGCAAAAGGTTCGGTTAGACCTTTTGCTACGGGCGAAGAGAACCCCAGCGCGGGTGTGCACTTTTTTGAGGGAGCCTTTTCACCTTGGTTGAAAGAGAGGCCGAAAGGAGAACCATCATGTTTGGTTTCCCCTATTTTGGCACATACCCAACCTCTGAGTCAGACTTAGGAGCATAGGTGCAGTTTGCTTGGTTGAACACAGATGGAACCAAGCTGGCTTCAATTTGGTTCCAGTTTCATTTACTATACGGTGGAACCTAGCAATCTTTCCATACCCGCGGCGAAAGCTCGGGGGCCTAGCTCAAGGGGTGATATGTTTTCCCTTTTGGGCCATTTGGGATCTTTCGAGCTGGGCGTGGTTTAGGGTTGCCTGAGAAATCCCCAAAGGCCTTTTGGGAAACCAGAGTTTCTGAAACATCGGATTTTGCATTTTCCGGAGCGGCAATTCGCTTCCAAAAGTTGCAGGTGGATGCCTCCCTTTCTGGGGGTGCTTGTGCACGTTTCCTGACCCTCCGGTCGGTCTGCACTAGCAAGCTGAGGGTAAAACGAGCTCAGCCGTGAAGGGTTTCGGTATTTCAGATGGTAAGTATAGTAAGTCGCCCAAATCAAGCAAACCCCTCAAGCCCTTGAACCCTGAACCTAAAGCCCAAGCCTAAGCCACGCCCGCGAACCCTCTTCTAGATTCTCATGAAAAGGCCGAGCGACTGACCATGTCAGGAGCTGAAGGCTGAGGAGCCGAAAGGCGAAGCGAAGGAGGCAGGGAGGGTTTGTTGTGCGCTTCGGACGGGCGGAACCCTTATGTGGGTTTGTCTCAAAATAGGCACCCGTACCCTCCCGCCCCCCCCTCCCCCCGCCCCCCAAATCCCCCCACACAAAAAATGAGGTCCTTGTCCTTTTCCTGACCATCCCAACCAGCCCCAAGCGGGGTGTTTTTGACCATGCCTCATACATGGCTTGGTTCTAATCGCCTTCTGGCTTAGGGAGGGTTTCGTGGTCAAAAGTTGTGTTTTGCCCTTGGCGTTATGCTCAAACAGTTTGCCTTAGTCATTTGTTTGGGAATACTAGGGACCAGCTCAACATTGAGGGAAAATCGGGATTCCGTGTTGAAGGCAACCATTACAGGGCGTGGATTGTAGGTTCTCAGTCTCCGTACCGACAGAGTACAGGCTCTCCCGCGAAAAAGTGTGACGAAGTTGTAGGGCTGGGCCAATTTGTATTTTTTCAGAAAAAGGGTCAATGGTCAATACATGACAGTGCGTTGAGCCACCCAAGTCTCAGTGTTCCGAAGGAGCACATACTCTACCCGCTCACCAATGGAGATGGGTGTGTCGTTTTGTTGAGGGTACCCTTCTTGGGTTGGTTTAAAGGGAAACCAAATGGAAGCCAATCATTTTGAGGGGGGTTCCCCTATTTTGAGGCAAGCCAAGATGCGGGAGATCCTGACACACTGTGATGACAAAGACAAAATGTGACGGAATGAGGGAAGGTTTTCAGGGACCATGGTTCAAGCGCTAGCGCTCCTCCCATCCTTGCTCTTCCCTGGTCGCTCGCTTATTTTGAATACCCAATCTGGGCCTTTAATCACTGGGATCACAGGCTTGTTGCTTGAACACGCTTCCTTTGCTTTATCACAGCATTTGAGCCTCCCTCAGCTATATTCAGTGGCACTTATTTCACTTCTGTTCCCTGCCGGCAGAGACCAACAAGAAGTGCAATTATCACACAGACTTTTGCAACAAAAGAAGGCGTTCCTTGAAATAACGGCTCCACGAGTGCGCGGTCGGTGTTCCTTACCACGGTTTCCTTCCCCGCCTCCCCCATCCTTTGAAAATAGAAAGCACCCACACTGCTCATCTCCATCCTTCATTCCCTCCATCCTTCCTTCCAGCTTGTCTAGTGACCCTTTTGCCGAATTCTTCTTCGTGCCAGGAGAATGGCAAGGCCAAGAAGTCAGCCCCCCCTCCGTGCAGCGGGCGGCTTCCACCCTTTTTCCCTTTTGAGGCACAATCAAAACCTGGGTAGATGAAGGCTAGTAAGGGACAATTCCAACGACAAATGGTTGCGGCCGCCCTTTTAATTCTTTACATGGTCTTGGGTAGACCAATTTGATAGGTTTTGATTTTGGCTCTGGTGGGTTCCCTGGGTAAAAATGGGATCGCCTCGGGTCAACTTTGCCACCTTTTCGGTGGCACCCTCACCCCTTCCAATCTTTTATTGGGTAATACTGGATATGGATGCCGGACTTCATGAGGCAAAGGTGGCTTTTGGGAGAATGGGTCTTCTCCGAATGTGTTGATTATTACTATTGCTACTATTGCTATCATTATTCTTCCTACTACTACTACTACTACTACTACAACTACAACTACTAGTAGTAAGTGCTACTACTACTACTACTACTACTACTACTACTACTACTACTACTACTACTACTACTACTATCATCTACTACTACTACTACTACTACTACTACTACTACTACTACTACTACTACTACTACTACTACTACTACTACTACTACTACTACTACTACTACTACTACTACTACTACTACTACTACTACTATCTACTATCTACTATCATCAAAATCATCATCATCATCATCATCATCATCATCATCATCATCATCATCATCATCATCATCATCATCATCATCATCATCATCATCATCATCATCACTTTTCGGTCCCCGGGGTTGATTCAAGGAACATTGCGAGGATGTTTTGCAGACGTGAATTGGTCGGAACTAGATGTGAGAGGCTCAGTCCCCTTGTCTTCTCGTGGCTTGAAAGGTCACTTTGTCAGGAAAGGGCCTCATCAGCGTTGTCCTTTGCCTCATGGAAAAAATCGAGCGGCTGGTTTCAACAGCCCCCAAAAGGACAGCCAGATGAAGCTTCGGGGTACACCGACCCCTTTATTTTGGTGAGCTTTTGGGGGTGGATATGGGTCACAGCTCAGTTCGTCATGCAATCGCGCGCGAGCTCAAGACCGCAGGAGCTGGATTCGGGAGAGCAAATGGTCCTGAAACCGGGTCGCCTTTTTTCCAGGGTTGGGTTGCCGGAGTTTGTTGCTTTCTTTTCATGTTTTTTGCAAGGCTTCCATTTTTAGGTCGGTTTAAAGGGAAGCCAAAAGGCACCCCGAAGTTAGGCTTGGCCATGCAAAAATCAAATCCGCCCAATGCAGGGGTCCGAATTCTTCTTTCGACGTCACCAGGAGCAGGACCGACGGAAGGACAATATGCGTCGACCATTCAAGAGGTTCCCGTAACGCCTATTTGAATCTTCCCCGTAGCATCATGGTCTGCAGGATGCGTTCCGGACGCCGATGAGTTGCGTTCAGGGAGTGCCGAGCTTCCAAAACCTTCTGCTCCAGTAAAAGGTTCTAGTATTCTATCTACTGTTTGAGGGATAGTGAGCGATGTCTCAAAGTGTTGGGCCCCCAAAATGGTTGGTCTTTTGGCTTCTCTTTAGAACCATACGAGGATCCCCGATTTTGAGACGTTTGCAAGCCTTACCCTTCCAACATGTATCCCACCTTCTCCCTTTTAGAGGAAGTTTGTCCAAGCCAGGCCTGTTCCTGTAAGAGAGACATCCGGCTTCCATTGGGCCCTTGTGCGGCCTTTTGGGGAGGCCAAAAGAAAAGCCACGGAATCTTGTGGGGGTACCCAACTGTTGACGACCCATATGTTTTCTTTGCGCCGTGAGTTGGTGGCCCATATGTCTGTTTCTTTCTTTGTGGGGCCTTATTTTGATGGCCCATACCATTGCGCCGGTTCCCAGTTATTCCACTCGTTCTTCATCCCAAACTGCCGAAATCTGCCATGGCGTGGTCTGAAGATCCATCGATTTCCACAGCCACCAAGTGGGGATGAAGTATCCAAATGAGGGAATGGAGATGTCTGTCCACCCACTTTTGAGAGGTTCCCTATTAACTCATCACCATATCTCACCTTTGGTGGCCAGTTGTTTCGTGAGTTTCCTTTGGGGAAGGTTTCGAGGGGAAAGTACGGGAGCCGACATGAACTGTTCACATGGTCAGGTTTGTGGGGCCTCCGTCTCGAGCCCACTTTCAACTGGTAAGGTCGAACAACTGGGCCCCCCCCCATTAAACGTGTGGTTTCCTTTTTGTTTCCCTGTAAAACCAATAAAACCAGCAACACGTTTTTCGTACTTTGAAAAATCAAAACACCCACGTGGTTGTGGACGGAATCCATGGGGAGGTGAATCTCAGGGTAGTACAGAAGGACCGGTCAGTTTTTCCACCATGGCAAGCGGTAAAAGGGATCGATCAACATCACTTTGGGTTGTCGGCAAGAGTTGGTTGCCTGTGACACAGGGTTGCTCACCCCCATTGGAAGCAGAAGAAGGGAACCCTGCAAGCTAACATGGAATCGCAACAAGGGATCCTGAAAGCAGATTCCTCGTTTTTTCCAGGAGTCCTTGTGCAGAAGTGTAGTCATTGTTTGGGCCGAGTTTGGAGTGGGGGCAAAGGGATGGATACCTTGGCCCTGCCTCGGTTTTAGCCGGGCTTTGCGTTTCTGCATTTGTTTTTGAACAGAATGCTTCCCCAAACATCCGTTTCCTTTTTGGACATCCCATAGCGGCACTTGTGTTGCCACTGGGCTTGTCTCCGCTTGGGGAACTTACCCATAGGTTTCCGTGAGCAAAGTAAACATAGGAGTCCCCCCCCCTCCCAGCCAAGCGCAACAATTGGCGTCTGCGTTTCTTTCGGCCATTTGGCTCTAGGTTTTCTGATCGCGGCAAGGCGAGGCAGCGACAAGGACTACGAAAGGGAACTAAACCATCAGACTCATGAAATGGCTCTGGGACTTTCCAAGGAATGAGGTTCAATTAAAAGTAACATGTTTCCAGGGACACATGTCTCGTTGATTTCATGAGCTTGACTCGACGGAAGAGAAAGCAGGTTTGCTGGCTCAGGACGCTGTTCTGGTGCCAATATTCACACAGTCTCAGCGTGCTTGCAACTTTTCACCTCTCAAGTTGGCTCTCAAGCTGATCTCAAGCTGACTCCCACGTTTTTCTCGGGCCTGTGGGGTTCCGGCGGGTCAAGTTTTTTTTCTTTTTCTTTTTCCGGCGGACAAGCCGCTTTTTCTGGCGCCATGTCGCAGCTGGCGGTGTATGGCGGAGCGGTTGGCATCACCGCGCTGATCCAAGGGCTAGGACAGGGCTCTGGCCATCTGAGCACTCAGAACGGGGGAACGGGTCCCAAGCCCCGTTCTGGCCGAGGAATCGTCCAATATACTGCACCTTTTGTTTGGGATTCCATGCATGTTTGGCAGGGAGCCATGCCGCACAACTCCATCCAAAGCGAACTCCGACCTTGTCAAATTTTGGATTTCCCGATTTGGAAGTCCGTCATTTTCATCCAAGGTCCACCGTGATCACCTTTCATTTCCAGGTCTGGGCAGAGCAACAATTCGGCCAACGGCCACGGACTTGGCCTTTGCTCAAACAAATCGGCAGCTTCGCCGTGGCCTTTGGCTGTCGGCTTTCGCTGCCAGGATTCCTGGTAGCTTTCGCCCTGCAGACGGAGGTCTTCTACGACATCTTGGGGGGGCTGAACTTCCTGTCGATTACTCTTTGGCCCCCTGGACTGCACGCCGAACCGGTCGTCCGCACTACAGTAAACGTGGGGTTTTGCCAAGTCGGTTTGAAGCAAAGTCGTTGCTTCGCCACGGAGTCTTTAAAGGGTTGAACAGCTCTTTGCCATGGTTTCACTGAAGGTGGGCAGCCTGGTTTAAAGCAATATTTAGGGGAAACCTGGCTTCAAGGATGTTTAAGCATTGTTGGTTTAAACATGTTGAACCAAGCGCTTGGCCTGGTCATCCCGGATTTTGATGCACCGGCTTCTGGGTTGAATGAAGACTTGGTGGATGCCTCTTTAAGATTGCTTTGCTGATGGCTTATACTCTCCGCAGTTGCTCTTCCAACAGTTTTGGGTCTAAGCAAGGCGAGGATGTGCCGTCAGTGATAGGGCTATGTGTCAAAACAGCTTTAACCTTTCCCATTACCCAGCCACTTGGTATCGGAAAGTGTGCAGGGCCGAAATCCTAAGGGCGTTGGTTGAGCGGTCAGGCCTTGGAATATCCCTTTCGGGCTCCTTGATCCCTTTTTTCCCCCTGATGCATTGATTTTGAACGCTATGGGTGTGTCTTGTTTTCTACGGGACCCCAATTATATATTTGTAGGTGGTTTTCCTTTTGGTTTCCCTTTAAAACCACCAACAAAGGGGTACCCTCAAGAAAAGACACGACCATATGGTCATACTCAAGCCCTGCCCGGTACCTGCCTAGTTTCCCCTACATAAAATCCAGCTTGGGCTGAGGTCGGCGACCTCTTCCAGCTTGGACACCCGCAAGGCGAAAGAAGGGAGGGAAGCAGACCGCAAGCCCGGAGAATGGACCTCCAGTTTGTCACCAGCTTATTACATGTGCGATTTGTGCATTTCCGAACCAAAGGACACCAAGCGATGGCAGATGACTTGTTCAATTTTGGCAACGGCCCTCCCTATTCAGCACCTTGACTATTGAACATGAAGGGACATTTGCCATCTACTTTCTCCCAAATGTACCACCCTCCCCACATATATTTACTCCATAGATCATCAAACTTGTAACCAACCTGCACGTGATTGTGGCAAGTGGAGTTAAGCCTCAATGACCCTGAAAATTGAGTTCCCAGCTCCTTGGCTGCGCTGTGCAATTAACGGGCAACTCCCGGGTTGTTAATCAGTTGGTTCGCCCAGGGTTCGTTTAACCACCATGCAGCTGAACCATCGTAGAGTAGATCTTACCTCTTACCCAGTGCAGAATGGCGTAGAGTAGATCTTGCCTCTTAACCATTGTAGAATGGTACTAAAGGATTACGGGGAGTGTTCTTCGTTTTCAGGAAGAGCAGCACGAGGAAACCTTCCGATCAGGAGGTGCCAGCAGTGGAGGCAGATCGGCTGAAGGAAACTCATTTTAGGGGTTTCCCTATTTTCCAATGCTAAACGCCGCCCGCCAGCGAATGATTGTTTTCCCAATGAGGGGACATCTCTTGGTTGCCCTGGAAAGCCACACCGGCAACAGGGCATCCTGAAAAAACGAGCCAAAGGGGGGCTTTCATGAAAGGCCACATTGATATGCCACAAAAGGCGTGGTATGGACTACCGAGCCTCCCAACCCCGAAAACCCCCCAACCAACCCGCAGCATTGAATGCCCTTGTCCGCCAGTCGTGGACAACTCTTTCTTGCCGTTGGCTTTACCCTTCTGTCCACTAGCATGGAACCTGACTGAGGGGTCCTGGAAGAGTATCGCCCTTCAAAAGGGACCCTCTGGTGGTTTCCATGTAAGTGCACAGGAGGGTAATAGCTTTCGATTATCGTGGTCAAGTACAACCCTCTGCTTGGTGGGGTGGATACCCGGACAGTCCAACAACCTCCGGTGCGAATCCTTGTAGGTCTTGACGAAAAGCAGAACTCGAAAGAAGGCGGTTCCCAATTGTGTGTCCACCATACCCTCCCGTTTTTCTCTTTTTCGATGGCACGCCCTTGATGATGCAGGGGATGGTTCCACCCCTCCCCCATTTGGGTGCGTTCTTGGAAGGCACCCCTTTGAGGGAAACCATGGAAACCGACCAGGAAAGCCGGTACGTTTCAAAACAGAGCTTTTTCCTATCTTGGAGACACGTCCTCTGAACATCGGCGAGGCTTGGGCCACCTGCCTCTTCCTCTGCTCCCGGGGCTGGCTGCTGGTCTTCTTGGCCTGGCGCGCCCACGAGCGCAAGGGGGACTCCCGCTTCGCCTCTTGGGGTGAAGCCGGAGGGGCTGGTCGTGGGCCTGGGGTTTGGGGGGGGCATGGTTTTTCCCCCAAAGAGGCGTGCTGCTGAAAAGCCTAAAATCGGGCTTCCTGTAAGGATACATGTCTTGGACTTTTTTTTGTTTTTTGTGTGTGTGTTTCCGGGAACCTCTCTCCGCCCGCCTGATGGACAAATGTAACGACGTCCCCAGACTTGTTTTACTTTTGCCTCGCTTTCAAACCAACCAAAACCAGTTCAATGGCCGAAATGTTTCCAAGCACCGTGCTGGCTCAGGACGAGCTGAAGGGCAAGTTCTTCTCCTTTATGAAAGCCTGGATCGTGCAGGGCATGTGGGTGATGCTTATCTCCATGCCAGGCAGGGAAGGAGAGGTTTTGAGCTGAGCTCTCGGTTCGACATAGAGTGAGTCCAGGGAGGTTTGCTTTCAACGAGACCAGCGGAGCCCTGGTCAAAGGGTCGTCCGTCTACGGTCTCACAGTCTCACATCGCAGCCACAACCCAAAGGCGCAAGTCTCACATCGATTCGAGTCTCACAAGGAGCCAACACAAGTCGCAGAGGAAGCTCGTTTTGGTTGACATGGACCTGATTGAGCTCTCGACCTATCGACTATGATGGACATGGGGAAGTTTGCTTGCACAAAGGTTGATTTTAAATGGAAACCACAAGACAACCAAGCATTTTGGGGGTCACCTAAAAACGAACAGAGCCATGTGGAGTTTCTGCTCCTGAAAGAGCTGTGTGGGGGGCTCACCACTCTAGATTACTTCCCTAGCCCGTGTGTTCTTTCTCGGACTTTTCGATGGCAGCGCAGCGTTTGGCTTTGCGCAAGTTTGAATAGTGTCTCCTTTATTCATCGCCAGCCATGAAAGTGCCAGAGATGAAGGCAACTGGCACGATGGAGCCGACCATGCCGAAAAATGTGACTGATGCGCCTGAGGCTACTAGGCTTCATCGCCTGTCCACAGCAGTGTGCGCCACAGTCCTTTGCATCTTGACACTCTTGTGGTCCTTCACTTTGCACCTGTCCAATGGTGCTGTTTTCACGGCGCTACTAGACGAGTACAATGCAAACCGTGCCAAAACTGCTTTTATTGGGTCGATCAATGAATTTGTATTCCTGCTCACCTATGTGCCGACTCCAGCCCTGATTCAGCGCTTTGGACTTTTGACAACATACATGCTGGGAAGCGTTTTGCTTGTGGGGGCTTGGCAGGAAATGGGGTTGCTGCATCCCTAGACATGTGGATTCCCACACATGGGTTTGCAGTGGGCATGGGCATGGGAATCCTCTGCATGGCCCAGTTGGATGTGATCTACAAGTTCACTCCTCGCTCCCACCGTGGGCTTTGCGTTGGACTAGCAGCCTCCGCGGGTGGCTTTGGGACCATGTTTCTCTCCCCTTGCCTGCACTACCTCGCCACCGAGTATGGGCTGCCCAACGCCATGCGGGTGCTTGCCACGTCAGCAGCTGCGACCCTTGTTCCAGTCCTGGTAGGGATCAGGGTGTTGCAGCAGCGTGGCCACCACTTCAAAGATTCGGCAAATGGAAAATCAGATCAGTGCCGGTCAACGATTGCGGCTTCATCTGAATCACGACGATGCCAGGCATGCAAGTCAGTGATGGGGGGCTTGATGCAGTGGTTCACAAACATCGACTTTCTGCTGCTCTTTCTGGGCTCGGTTCTCTACCTCGCGGGCTTTTCAGTGCCGTTTGTGCATCTGGCATCCTTGGCACGGGATCGAGGCGTGAACCCTGCAGATGCCGCCGGCTTGCTGTCGATCTTCGGGACCTTCAATGGGATAGGCCGAATCCTGTTTTCTCGGCTCGGGGATCTGCTTGGCGGCGCCTATCTGCGAGTGTACTGCATGACAGTGCTGGGGAATTCTATCATGATGTTTCTGCTGCCCTGGTGTCAATCCTACGAGCACTTCACAGCCTTCGCGGCCTGTTGCGGCCTTTTCGGAGGTGGGCGGCCCATCAGCCTGGTGTGCGGTGAACTCTTTGGCCAGGAGCAGGCATCAAAGGCCTACGGCCTCCTCGGTTTCGCCTTCGTGTTCAGTTCTTTGGGGGCTCCTTTGGTGGGCCACGTGTACGATGTGATCGGCTCCTATGAGAGCGGGTTTATCTCCGTTGGGGTCCTCATGGCCGCGAGCTTGTTGATCTTGCTTGGCTTGGATTGGAAGGTCAGGCGTCAAGCAAGGGACTTGGAGGAGGCTCCACGTGAGGGCGATCGATTTTCTGTCTGAGCCATCGTTCCGTGCAAGTTTTGCAACGAGTGCAGGGCTGCGTTTGTCACAGCATTAGTGGCTTGGCAATCCCGAACGCGTGACCATTCAACCTCCCCATCGCATATGCTAGGCTGTTCAGCACAGCTCGCGGCTCATGGCATGTGCTCTGGACTTTGGCAAGACTGTTATGCAGTCTTCCAAGGTATTGGGCTTGAATCCAGTTTCGTTTCCTCGTCGCCATGTCGGGGTGTTTAACGGACTGTACAGGCTCAACAATTTTGTTCGCAGCCACGCACTTTTTTTAAAGATGCTTATTTTCCACACACCATTGCATGTGCCAGGCTGTCCAACCAGGCTCACAGCTTACGGCATGCGCTCTGGACTTTTGCAAAATTGCCAAACAGTCTTCCAAGGTATTGGGCTTGATTTCAGTTTGTCTTGCTTGCCATTTGGGCAGGCAAGTGGACCATCAGGCTCAACGTTTTTGTCTCAACGAAGGCACGTTGTGAATAGCAACGCTTGAAACGCACCATTGCATGTGCTAAGCTGTTCAGTGAAGGTTACAGCTCATGGCATGTGCTCTGGACTTTGGCAAGACTGTTGTGCAGTGTTCCAAGGTATTGGGCTTGAATCCAGTTTCGATTCCTCCCGCCATGTTGGGGGGTTTAACGGACTGTACAGGCTCAACAATTTTGTTCGCAGCCACGCACTTTTTTAAAGATGCTTATTTTCGACACACCATTGCATGTGCCAGGCTCACAGCTTACGGCATGCGCTCTGGACTTTTGCAAGATTGGCAAACAGTCTTCCAAGGTATTGGGCTTGATTTCAGTTTGTCCTGCTTGCCATTTGGGCAGGGAAGTGGACCATCAGGCTCAAAGTTTTTGTCTCAACTAAGGCACGCTGTGAATAGCAGCGCTTGAAAACTCGTTGAGTGAAACAATGGTTTAAAGCATAGCATTGCGAAGTTTAATGCTATGTTCAGTACAAGACAAAAGAGACCACAGAGAGAGGGAGACAGAGAGAGAGAGAGAGAGCGAGAGAGAGAGAGAGGAAAGAGAGAGAGAGAGAGCGAGAGAGAGAGAGAGGAAAGAGAGAGAGAGAGAGACAGAAAAAGAAAGACATAGAAGAAATAGAGAAAGAAAGCAAGAAAGCAAACAAGCCCGAAAAACAAGAAAGCAACAACGCAAGAAAACCAGAGAGCAAGATCGCAAGGAAGCAAGAACGCAAGGAAGCAAGAATGCAAGGAAGCAAGGAAGCAAGGAAGCAAGGAAGCAAGGAAGCAAGGAAGCAAGGAAGCAAGGAAGCGAGGAAGCGAGGAAGCGAGGAAGCACGGAAGGAAGCAAGCAAGCAAGCAAACAAGGAAGGAAGGCATGAAGGAGAGGGAGGATGGAAGGAAGAAAGGACAGAGAGACAGAGAGAGAGAGAGAGACAGAGCGAGACAGAAACAAAAATCAAAGAAAGAAAGAAAGAAAGAAAGAAAGACATAAATATTTCTTTCTATATTTCTATCTTTCTTTCTATCTTTTGTTTCTTTGTTTATTTGTCTTTGTTTCTTTGTTTCTTTGTTTCTTTGTTTCTTTGTTTCTTTGTTTCTTTGTTTCTTTGTTTAATAGTTTCTTTGTTTCTTTGTTCCTTTGTTTCTTTGTTTCTTTGCTTAATAGTTTCTTTGTTCTGTGTTTCTTTGATTCTTTGTTTATTTTTTCTTTGTTTCTTTGTTTCTTTGTTTCTGTGTTTCTTTGTTTCTTTGTTTCTGTATTTCTTTCTTTCTTTCTTTCTTTCTTTCTTTCTTTCTTTCTTTCTTTCTTTCTTTCTTTCTTTCTTTCTGTCTGTCTGTCTGTCTGTCTTTATTTCTTTATTTATTTATGAACAAAAGAAAGGGAGAAAGACCAGAAATATAAAGAAAATAACAGAACAGAAAATATCAGAAAGAAAGAAAGAAAGAAAGAAAGAAAGACAGACAGAAAGAAAGAAAGAGAGAAAGAAAGAAAGAAAGAAAGAAAGAAAGAAAGAAAGAAAGAAAGAAAGAAAGAAAGAAAGAAAGAAGGAAGAAATAAAGACAGAACGCAAAGAAGAAACAGTTAAAGAACAAATGCAAGAAATAAAGAAAGAAAGAAAGAAGCATAAACCAAGGAAAGGCAGGAATGAATACAGAGCGCAAGAAGGAAATAAGTCAAGGCAGACAGGAGGCGTAAAGAAAACAGAAAGACATTAACAATAAAAAAAAACAAGACAATAATATGAATGTAGAAAGGAAGACAGAAATAAATCAGGAGTTTGGAAGAAACGAATAACGGAAGAAAGGAAGAACAGAAGAAAACAAAAAGAAAGACAGAAACAGGGAGAGAGAGAGAGAGAGAGAGAAACAGAGAAACGGAGAAGCAGAGAAACAGAGAAAAAGGAAAGAGGGAAAGAGATAAAAAGGGACCGAGAAAGCGAGCAGAGAGAGCGAGAAAGAAAGGACAAAAGGAAAAACGGAAGCAAGGAAGAAAGGACGGCAAGAACGGGACACATAGACAAAGAAAGAAAGACAGAAAGAAAGAAAGGAAGGAAGAACGGAAGCAAGGAAGAAAATAATCAAGGAAGAAAGACAGAAAGACAGAAATAAAAGAAAGAAAATAAAGAAAGCAAGAAAGAACGAAACATAGAAAGAAGGAAATCAAGAAAGAAAGACATGGCACACAGAAAGGAGGGACAAGAAAATGAAGTCAATCAAAGAAATGAAGGCAGGAAAGAAGGAAAGCAGGAAAGAAGGAAAGAAGGAAGGAAAAAAGGAAAGGAAGAAACAATTACAGAAGGAAAGAAGAAAAGAAGGAAAGAAGGAAAGAAGGAAAGAAAGAAACACAGAAACAAAGAAACACAGAAACACAGAAACACAGAAACAAAGAAACAAAGAAACAAAGAAACAAAGAAACAAAGAAACAAAGAAAACAGAAACAAATAATCAAAGAAACAAAGACATATATCAGGAGTTTGGAAGAAACGAAGAACGGAAGAAAGGAAGAACAGAAGAAAACAAAAAGAAAGACAGAAACAGGGAGAGAGAGAGAGAGAAACAGAGAAACGGAGAAGCAGAGAAACAGAAACAGAGAAACAGAGAAACAGAGAAAAAGGAAAGAGGGAAAGAGATAAAAAGGGACCGAGAAAGCGAGCAGAGAGAGCGAGAAAGAAAGGACAAAAGGAAAAACGGAAGCAAGGAAGAAAGGACGGCCAGAACGGGACACATAGACAAAGAAAGAAAGAAGGAAAGAAAGAAAGAAAGAAAGAAAGAAAGAAATAAATAAAGACAGACAGACAGACAGAAGGAATTAATAAAGAAAGAAAGAACAAAGGGAAGAAAGAAAGAAATTCATACAGAAATAAAGACAGACAGACAGAAAGAAAGAAAGATATCAAGAAAGAAAGAGAGAGATAGATAGAAACAACAAACCTTAAAGGAAAGGAAAGGAAGGACGGAAGAAATAAAGACAGAACGCAAAGAAGAAACAGTTAAAGAACAAATGCAAGAAATAAAGAAAGAAAGAAAGAAAGAAGCATAAACCAAGGAAAGGCAGGAATGAATACAGAACGCAAGAAGGAAATAAGTCAAGGCAGACAGGAGGCGTAAAGAAAACAGAAAGACATTAACAATAAAAAAAAACAAGACAATAATATGAATGTAGAAAGGAAGACAGAAATAAATCAGGAGTTTGGAAGAAACGAATAACGGAAGAAAGGAAGAACAGAAGAAAACAAAAAGAAAGACAGAAACAGGGAGAGAGAGAGAGAGAGAGAGAAACAGAGAAACGGAGAAGCAGAGAAACAGAGAAAAAGGAAAGAGGGAAAGAGATAAAAAGGGACCGAGAAAGCGAGCAGAGAGAGCGAGAAAGAAAGGACAAAAGGAAAAACGGAAGCAAGGAAGAAAGGACGGCAAGAACGGGACACATAGACAAAGAAAGAAAGACAGAAAGAAAGAAAGGAAGGAAGAACGGAAGCAAGGAAGAAAATAATCAAGGAAGAAAGACAGAAAGACAGAAATAAAAGAAAGAAAATAAAGAAAGCAAGAAAGAACGAAACATAGAAAGAAGGAAATAAAGAAAGAAAGACATGGCACACAGAAAGGAAGGACAAGAAAATGAAGTCAATCAAAGAAATGAAGGCAGGAAAGCAGGAAAGAAGGAAAAAAGGAAAGAAGGAAAGAAGACAAGAAGGAAAGAAGGAAGGAAAAAAGGAAAGGAAGAAACAATTAAAGAAGGAAAGAAGAAAAGAGGGAAAGAAGGAAAGAAGGAAAGAAGGAAAGAAGGAAAGAGGGAAAGAAGGAAAGAAAGACAGAAGTAGGGATTATAACAGAAAGGGAACGAAACGCCGAAAGAGGGAGATAGAGATAAAGCGAGAAACAAATGATTGAAGTTCCTTACAACGCTCCTTGGAGGGTTCCTTATAAGGCCGCGCAGGCCTACAAAACTCTCGGCTGTTCTGCCAAGATTGCCATAACCTGGTCAAATGCGGGGTGTTTGCGAAGGACGAAACAGGGTGAAACCTGGATACCCACTATTGGTACTGTACCCGTTTTGGTTGATTCGGTCGCTGGTAAACTGTGGCTTTGGGTTGACCATCACGCAACCAAACATGGTTTGGTGCAACCGGAACATTGTCTTCCAGCCGGGTTTGTGGCACCACTGTACTTCATGTTTGTCGGGAGTCGGGAGGGCACTTTTCTAGTGGGTGCCTTCTGGGGCACGCCAGTCCTCTTCATCAACTCCTCGGCTGCCTCCGTGCCGATGGACAGCTTTGATTGGCTCATGGTTTCTTGAATGCTATCGGGTTGGATCTTTCACCTTTATTTGGGTGTGTCTTTTTGAGGGTACCCTTTTGCGGTTTGTTTACATGGAACCCAAGGGGAAGCCACTGATTTTTGGGGGCCCCTCAAAAAGGCAAACTCAGGTTTATGTGAAGAATCCGCAGCTTTTTGGGCAGTGGGTCATGGCCAAGGCTTGCGGCTTCGGGGGCTGCATCCTGGTGGAGATTTTGGCGGACGTGCAGAAAGCGCAGTGGGTGAAGCGAGGCCGGATCCCGATCCAATGCTCAAGGGTATGCAACAGATATTGGCCCCTTTCAGGGCTCTGCTTTTCAGTTATACCAAGCTGAGTGGTTCATTTCCCCCAAACGAAGGACTCTAGGGTGGTTTAAGTCTATCCAAAAGTGCAACCTTGGTCCTCTATTCACCCCAATAACCCTCAAAATGGGGGACTTGAACGATATTGACCACTTTATCATCCAATAGGGTCTAGGATGCACCGGACAACTAACATAGCCGGATGTAGAAACCCTTTGCATCACTTTCAGGTGAATGCCAATTCGGCCAATTTGGGGTTGTCTCAAAGTAGGGGACCCCCCCAAAAAGGATGGTTTCCTTTTGGTTTCCCTGTCACACCCATGTATCCTTTGATGGGCCCTGAGTAAGGGAGTTCCCCCCCCTTTCCGCGCCTGGCGCTCGCAAGGCCGGCCCGGTGGCTTCTGCCAGGAGGGGCTATGGGCGGTGTCCAGGCCCCGTACGCAAGGAAACGCACGCGGAAGCGGCGCGGAGCTCGAAATGGCTTTACTTTTTCGGGGAGTTGTCCATTTCAAAAGCATGGTTTTTCGAGGTACCTTTAAAATGGGTGCGCTCGAAATTGGTATCTCACGAAAGTGGTTCGAATGAGCTTTCATGTCTCTTGGGCTTCCCTGTAACCCATGGTTTTGACCTCAAAAAGACACTCTCAAATGGGAACCGCACCTGAAGGGCCTGGGAAAGCAAACACATCAACCCCCGAAAGGGAAGAAGCCTGCTTTCCATAGGCTCCAAGGATACACCTTCATTGTACATGCAGCAACCCTTAATAGCTGGTATTTGGGTGAAGTGTGGATCGCAGGAGTCCTGCGGATTCCAGTGCGGTTTTTGTGTGCGCTGTGCCGCTGTACAACTCAAAGAGCAAAAGAGTAGGAGGTGGAATCAAGAGGCGCCTGAAACATTTTTTGCTCGGGGTCTGTATATTTCCAGCTTATGAACATCCCCCCAAAGGAAGCTCGTATTGAGCCACAGGTGCTACCCGGATGGGGTACTACATCAAGTCTCAAATAAAAAACCTTTTCAGGTGGTTACTTTCCGTTTGTTGTCCATCCGCAACAGATCATCCCGTGGTTGATCTGTACAAGGGTGTTTTGAGACCTGACCGTGTTCCTGCCGCCACTTGCTTGTTTCTCAAAAGCGGCCTCGAAAAATGGGTTGTTTCCTTTTGGTTTCCGTGGAACTAACCCAAACAGGACAAGGCCCCACTTGCTTAAAGTTGAGCCTTTTGAACTTTTTGGTTGTTTCCCACCGCACTTTTGGTTTCTCGGGGCAAGGCTCGAGGCGTTTTTGAAGATGTAGCTCAAGCATTGTCAAATGTGTTCCTTTTTGAAAATCCGACTAGATGTGTTCCTTTCAATCTTTTGCCCTTCCTCCCATGGCACCTGTGGGAGGGCACCTACGGAGGGATCCCCTAGCAACTGCTACAGAAAGACATCAGCTCGGGTTGCGCATTTATGACTTCCTCTTCGCGAAGTGGTTTTTGACGTGCCATGTGTAGGTATTGCCTGTACCTGTGTGCCGGCGAACTACAGGGGTCGCTTTATTCCTTATAGTGAACAACAAGCCTTTTGGTTGAACACCGACGAGCACTTTGGGGCGTTGGGGTGACAGTCACCACCGATTTGACGAGTGACTATTATGTTTCAAGCGTGATTTGGGCTCGTCTGTTTCGAACCCAAGAAACCGGTGCTTTTCTTTGGCGTCCCTTTGACGGTATCAGAAGAAGACGGAATGCCATTTACGAGTGTCCCTTGGCCGCAAGGCAAAGGGGCGATGTTAGGGAATTCTGAACTTGCAACATCCTTCCCAAAGGAAACTTACCATGTACAGTTTTTCTACCATGACTACAAAGGGTTTCAGTCTAGCCGATCTTTGCCATTAGGGTTGTGGAGTTGTGGAAAGGGGTTGCCGTTTTTCCTATCTGACAGTTTCGATTGGAAAGCCCCCGGAATCTCCGGGGCTGACCTTTGGGAAGCTGAGGGGCCCTAGGCAAGACGAGCGCCCCCCCCAACAATTATTTGCCAATTTAGATTGGTCTACAACCTGGGCTTCAAGAAAGGACATAGTAAGGGCCATCGAAGCAAAAAAACAAATGCAACCTTTTTGGTGGAACCACAAGTCAATTGGTATTGGCCGCTTAGATGTGTTGGTTCACGTTCCTTCCTAGGAACCCATTTTTGTGTTAGGCAGCCAGCTTTGTGCAGCATGTATCGTCATGTATACTGGGCAACCCCCCCAATTGGTTTCAGGTTGCTTCCATTTCAGCAATCTCTTTTGAAACCAATGTATACTTCTATACTCGCTAGGTATGGGGAATCAACCAAAAGCTGAGGTAATACTAGGGGCTAAATGCTTACGAACATTCTGGCCCTGTGAGCATGACTATTGTTTTTCAAGCTGAAGTCGTTCAGCCGAGGTGGGTTTCCCTTCAACATCAACCAACATATACAAGTATAATATATATATACATACTTGTATTATATATATATATTTATTGAGTATTCCCCCCCCCCCCCCCCTCCCGCCAAGAAATCTACAGGAAGTCCCCTGACCACAGTTTTCTGAGGGTTTCCGGCAATGGGAAGCCCATCGCCTGGCAAAGCCGGCCAAGGCCGGCCACAGCCGGGAGAGCGCGGTTCGTTCACTTTTTTCTCGAGGCACCCCAACTACTTCGGGGAGATCTTCCAGTGGTGGTTCGCCTGGCTCTTGGCCTTCCGAAGCTCCGAGCTGCAGTCAGGATTGATCCCGACCTTGGGGGGGAGGTTTGGGTAGGTGCGAATCGTTGTTGGAGTTGGTATCCCGGTTTTGCGGTTGGTTTAAAGGGACATTCAAAAGGAACATTTGATCTATTTGATCTCTTCTCTCTTCTTTTGAGAACCCCAGTTTGCCACCATACCCCATTCCATTTTTCCCAGACCTCCAGCGGGGTGCAAATCCTGGTTTCAACCTTTTTGGGCGTGGGTGAACCCTTTAGGACAGATGACCAAAAACGAGTGCCTTTTGTTGTCATGGCCACTGGGAGGGGGGGGGGGGTTTGGACTACCCCAAGATCGACTAAAATAACTAGGGCTCGTGCCAGGCATGACTGGGGGCAGGTAAATTAAAGGGCCGGATACCCCCACAAGTCTATGCTTATTGAAGTATGCGACACTTGCATCTGCCGAGCAGCGAATAATCCCAAATCCGAGACATGCAAAGACCCTCACATGCAAAACCTTCACGCACTCAGCTATGTCGAAAACTCTCAGCACTTTGTTTTTCGCTCTGGCAGATCGAGGGGTCGCATTGGCATCGCCAATGGCATATGTCAGCGGCATATGTTTAACATATGGCTTGAAGTGCCAACGCGTCAGGCGCAGCATGTATCTGCCAGCCTGGCCCCATGCATCCTGCGCTGTGACGCGCTAAGTACTTCAAGACGAAAGCCTTCCAAGAGCGGAACCCCATTTCTGCGGGATTCTTTGCATTGCAGCTGGTTCTACAAGCGTATATAGGTCGCTCCCGCGACCGCAGATGCAAGCAAATTCCAAATCATCCACGCGTCCGAATCTTTCGATTGGGGTGTCCTGAAGTGCGGCTCGATGATGTGTTCTGGCACGGCCAGGTACAGTTCGCTGAACATGCTGGAATGGCCGCGGGCTTCTCAACAGTCAGGTCCTGCCTTTCGGAGGTTGTTGAGCTATGGCCGCGGGATCTTGAAGATCAAGAGAGCCTTGCAAAACTGTCTCATCAACAAGTATATAGCAGTGACTCTCAAGGGCAGGGCGCCGGTCATGCGAAGCCCATGGATCACGACTTCGGCAGTGGCATCTCCAAAGTGCTGCGCCTGCCACGATTTCGCGCGCCCCGAGCCGCGCGCGCGACAACATCCCATCCCTTTAGACAGCTGCCAAATGCTGCCCCTGCCACGCAAACCCACGCTCAGATGCACAGAATGCTGCGCCTGCCACAACTTCGGCAATGGCATCTCCAAAGTGCTGCGCCTGCCACGATTTCGCGCGCCCCGGGCCGCGCGCGCGACAACATCCCAGCCCTTTAGACAGCTGCCAAATGCTGCCCCTGCCACGCAAACACACACTCAGATTGCTGCGCCTGCCACAATTTCGCGCGCCCCGGGCCGCGCGCGCGACAACATCCCAGCCCTTTAGACAGCTGCCAAATGCTGCCCCTGCCACGCAAACACACACTCAGATGCACAGAATGCTGCGCCTGCCACGACTTCGGCAATGGCATCTCCAAAGTGCTGCGCCTGCCACGATTTCGCGCGCCCCGAGCCGCGCGCGCGACAACATCCCAGCCCTTTAGACAGCTGCCAAATGCTGCCCCTGCCACGCAAACACACGCTCAGATGCACAGAATGCTGCGCCTGCCACGACTTCGGCAACGGCATCTTCAAAGTGCTGCGCCTGCCACGATTTCGCGCGCCCCGAGCCGCGCGCGCGACAACATCCCATCCCTTTAGACAGCTGCCAAATGCTGCCCCTGCCAAGCAAACACACGCTCAGATGCACAGAATGCTGCGCCTGCCACGACTTCGGCAATGGCATCTCCAAAGTGCTGCGCCTGCCACGATTTCGCGCGCCCCGAGCCGCGCGCGCGACAACATCCCAGCCCTTTAGACAGCTGCCAAATGCTGCCCCTGCCACGCAAACACACGCTCAGATGCACAGAATGCTGCGCCTGCCACGACTTCGGCAATGGCATCTCCAAAGTGCTGCGCCTGCCACGATTTCGCGCGCCCCGAGCCGCGCGCGCGACAACATCCCATCCCTTTAGACAGCTGCCAAATGCTGCCCCTGCCAAGCAAACACACGCTCAGATGCACAGAATGCTGCGCCTGCCACGACTTCGGCAACGGCATCTCCAAAGTGCTGCGCCTGCCACGATTTCGCGCGCCCCGAGCCGCGCGCGCGACAACATCCCAGCCCTTTAGACAGCTGCCAAATGCTGCCCCTGCCATGCCAGCACACACTCAGATTCACAGAATGCTGCGCCTGCGACGACTTCGGCAGTGGCATCTTCAAAGTGCAGCGCCTGCCACGATTTCGCGCGCCCCGAGCCGCGCGCGCGACAACATCCCATCCCTTTAGACAGCTGCCAAATGCTGCCCCTGCCACACAAACACAAGCCCAGGTGAGTGTGAGTGAGTGTGAGTGAGTGAGTGAGTGTGAGTGAGTGAGTGTGAGTGAGTGTGTGTGAGTGAGCGTGAGAGAGTGAGTGTGTGTGTGTGAGTGAGTGTGAGAGAGTGAGTGTGTGTGTGAGTGAATGTGAGAGAGTGAGTGTGAGTGCGTGTGTGAGAGAGTGTGTGTGAGTGAGTGTGTGAGTGAGTGTGTGTGAGTGACTGTGAGAGAGTGAGTGTGAGTGAGTGAGTGTGAGACAGTGAGTGTGAGTGAGTGGGCGGCGGGGGTGGCGGGGCGGGCGGCGGACGGCGGGGCCGGACGGCGGACGGCGGGCGCGGAGCGGTAAAAGTAAGAGCCCCACACAAAGATGTGGGGAACAAATTAAAGGACCGGATAACCCCACATGCTATGTTTTTCGCAAGGATGTGAGTTCAAATGTCCACACACATGTACCGTGCGCCCCTTGTATGGATGCGATTACAGAGCACCCAGATGCACAGAATGCAGCGCCTGCCACGACTTCGGCAACGGCATCGCCAAAGTGCTGCGCCTGCCACGATTTCGCAACGGCATCGCCAAAGTGCTGCGCCTGCCACGATTTCGCACACCCCCCGCCGCGCGCGCGACAACATCCTGTCCCTCTAGACAGCTGCCGAATGCGACCCCTGCCACACAAACACACACCCAGATGCACAGAATGCTGCGCCTGCCACGACTTCGGCAACGGCATCGCCAAAGTGCTGCGCCTGCCACGATTTCGCAACGGCATCGCCAAAGTGCTGCGCCTGCCACGATTTCGCACGCCCCCCGCCGCGCGCGCGACAACATCCTGTCCCTCTAGACAGCTGCCGAATGCGACCCCTGCCACACAAACACACACCCAGATGCACAGAATGCTGCGCCTGCCACGACTTCGGCAACGGCATCGCCAAAGTGCTGCGCCTGCCACGATTTCGCAACGGCATCGCCAAAGTGCTGCGCCTGCCACGATTTCGCACGCCCCCCGCCGCGCGCGCGACAACATCCTGTCCCTCTAGACAGCTGCCGAATGCGACCCCTGCCACACAAACACACACCCAGATGCACAGAATGCTGCGCCTGCCACGACTTCGGCAACGGCATCGCCAAAGTGCTGCGCCTGCCACGATTTCGCAACGGCATCGCCAAAGTGCTGCGCCTGCCACGATTTCGCACGCCCCCCGCCGCGCGCGCGACAACATCCTGTCCCTCTAGACAGCTGCCGAATGCGACCCCTGCCACACAAACACACACCCAGATGCACAGAATGCTGCGCCTGCCACGACTTCGGCAACGGCATCGCCAAAGTGCTGCGCCTGCCACGATTTCGCAACGGCATCGCCAAAGTGCTGCGCCTGCCACGATTTCGCACGCCCCCCGCCGCGCGCGCGACAACATCCTGTCCCTCTAGACAGCTGCCGAATGCGACCCCTGCCACACAAACACACACCCAGATGCACAGAATGCTGCGCCTGCCACGACTTCGGCAACGGCATCGCCAAAGTGCTGCGCCTGCCACGATTTCGCAACGGCATCGCCAAAGTGCTGCGCCTGCCACGATTTCGCACGCCCCCCGCCGCGCGCGCGACAACATCCTGTCCCTCTAGACAGCTGCCGAATGCGACCCCTGCCACACAAACACACACCCAGATGCACAGAATGCTGCGCCTGCCACGACTTCGGCAACGGCATCGCCAAAGTGCTGCGCCTGCCACGATTTCGCAACGGCATCGCCAAAGTGCTGCGCCTGCCACGATTTCGCACGCCCCCCGCCGCGCGCGCGACAACATCCTGTCCCTCTAGACAGCTGCCGAATGCGACCCCTGCCACACAAACACACACCCAGATGCACAGAATGCTGCGCCTGCCACGACTTCGGCAACGGCATCGCCAAAGTGCTGCGCCTGCCACGATTTCGCAACGGCATCGCCAAAGTGCTGCGCCTGCCACGATTTCGCACGCCCCCCGCCGCGCGCGCGACAACATCCTGTCCCTCTAGACAGCTGCCGTGAGTCAGCGAGTGTGAGTGAGTGAGTGAGCGAGTGAGTGAGTGAGTGAGTGAATGAGTGAGTGAAGTGAGTGAGTGAGAGTGAGTGTGAGTGAGTGAGTGTGAGTGAGCGTGAGTGAGTGAGTGAGTGAGTGTGAGTGAGTGTGAGTGAGTGAGTGTGAGTGAGTGTGAGTGACTGAGTGTGAGTGAGTGAGTGTGAGTGTGTGTGAGTGAGTGTGAGTGACTGAGTGTGAGTGAGTGAGTGTGAGTGAGTGAGTGCGAGTTGAGTGAGTGTAAGTGAGTGAGTGAGAGTGAGTGAGTGAGTGAGTGAGACGGAGACGAGCGGGAGGAGGAGACGCGGCGCGCGGACGACGAGCGGAAAAAGTAAGAACCCCACACAAAGATGTGGGGAAGAAAACAGACTGAAACGAAGGGGCTCCCTTAAAACAGCAAGCACTCATTTGTTTTTCTTTTTTTTCTCTACCTTTCAAGACATGGAACCCTGGAGAGATGGATTGCTCCTTTGGCTGTGCGGCTATTAGTGATTTCACAGGGACCCCCCCAAATGATTGGTGGACATCATTTCCCTTGCCCAATGACAAACTGTTCATTTCTGCAAAACTTGCTTCCCCAGTTGATGGACTTTTACCTATTGAATTTGAAGACAATTGGCTGACAAATTGTAAAACAGCCTTGTGGTTTGCTTTGAGTTCCTAAAAGGCGGACAAAACCACGTTTTGGGTTGTTGCAAATGCCTCACCGCTTTCCCTTTGCTTTCGCTCTACCAGGATCAGACAGCCTGGTCAGGCTCTTCACGTGTTTTGCAATAGAATGATCTTCTAACCCCACGATAGGGCACCTTCAGACAAAGACGAGCCACCCATATCACCATCGAACATATAAATACTTGTTCGCGCTTTGGAGCGGACCGAAGAGTCGGCGACGGCCCCACGGACCGAAAACGGAACTCCGGAATTCGACTGGGAGTTTTTGCCCATTGTCCAGCTCAGAACCATCAGCACCACAGATGAGCATAGTAGATCCTTCTTTTGGGCTGGCAAAAAAAAGGGGCAAATGACACCCGTCAGGTATTGGAGGACAAATCAGATCGTTGACGCGCAAAGATTGATCCGATGGGCCCCAATTTTCGCTGAATCGACGCTCTCCTTTAGAGTACGACTTTGAAGCTTCGGATGAATCTAGAAAGAGACTGCACATTTGCGGGTTCCCCGAAAATGGATGAGTCCCCTGCTTAAAGGGGGGCTGAACCCCTTTTGAATCCGGAGTGGGGTTTAGTCGGAAGTGGTCATGGCCATTTGTATGCAAACGCCTTTTGTAACCTCGGTCCAGCATCTTCGGAGCCACGAAAAGAGTGGCTTGCCCGAATTTTGACAACGTCCATGTTCTTGTTTTCTTTTCTGTGTTTGGGAAGAGATGCTGTTTCTTTTGTTTTCTTTGCTGGTGTCGTGCATTCTATGAGTTTGATTTGAGATTGATGTCGTTGTTTCTTGTTCTTTGCTCTTTTCGGGGGGTTGTTGTTCTTCCTTTTTGGTTGGGCGAAGGGCCTTTCTTGTTCCATGTCGCCCGAGCCGCCAGCTGCAGACTCCAGTGCCAGGACTATGGGATCCTCTGTGGTGGGCCTGCTCCATCTCGCCGCTCTTCACCATGCGCCGCGGCAGTCATGTCATACTTGACCCAAACGAGTGCGCTGAATTTTGAGCAGGCTCTGTCTGGTTGGTTTGGAAGGCAATCAAAAGCAAACCTACTTTTTTGGGTCAGTCCGGGACAAACCCAAATCAGTCGCTGACAAGACACGCCGAATTTATATCGAGCGGTTCCACCAATTCGGGGTCAAAACGAGCGACTTCGCCCATGATGTATATAGGTGCTGTACATAGGGATCAATTGTTATTTCAGGGTTCGGAATTATTGTAGCATTTGCTGATACTGTCGATGGACAATGACACCCTTTGACTCGGGGTTGGTCGAGGTGATCATAGGTGATCATACACCCTTGGAGAATGCAGAGAACTGTGTATGCAGTCACCCGACAAATTCCCTTCAGTTGGGATTGGTTGTTTGTGAAAGTAATCAAATTGGGGTTCATCCATCCCAACTGGTGCAAGTCGGATTTTGTCCAATGCTCAGTTATTCCGTTTTGTTTTGTGGTTCATATTATAGGGTTTGCTCAATTTTGGGGTCGCGCTGGGGGCTTGATGTGGGGGCATGCCGGTTCGGAGTTGGCTCGAGTCTTGGGGTGCATTCTTGAGGGGACCCCCTGCCGCCCCTATCTTGACGCATATGTTTAGGCTCCCCTTTTTCAGCTGGATTCCAGTGGCCACGAGTTTTTATCCCAAAGAAGGAAGCGGGTTTATTGTTGCGCAAAGCGGAGTCGATCTGGTGGCTCACGTATTGCCTCGACAGTCCTTTGCTTTTGCTCAAAGAGAAGCCGAAACAGTTGCTGGTTGCCCAACAGTTGGCCGAAAAACGAGGCTCATCCTGCTTCACGTAAAGGCGACGGGGGTCTGCAACGCAGAGGGCCGGAACCTGAAGCGCTACTATGACCAGTGCCCGGACCCTTGGCCAAAACGATCCACGTGGCGACCTTTTCCAGCCACTGCGGTTTTGGGTATCTTCCATAGTTTCTGTTTCAACATGAGTCAATTGTTGGCAGCGTAGCCTAAATTTTAGAGGTTGGTTTCAAAGGGAAGCCAAAAGCTAGAAGGACACTGGGTTCCCTTATTTCGACCAACACAAAATCGGGGCTCAACCCCACTTGCTGGAAGGTTTGGACAGCAAAGTTTCCCCCCTAAAGGGCCGGCCATCACTCTTAGGCCGGGATGGGTGGCTCGCTGCAATGGTTTTGGCTTTCCCTCGGTGGGTCGGTTGCTTTTTGTTTCCCTTGCAAAGCCAAAGAGGGGTTCCCCTTTAAGACAGAAAGGCTTTCGCAGATTCAGACAACCTCAGAGAATAAGAAACTAGGGAACCCTCTGGACCAAATGAAAGGGGTGACATGTTGTGAATTGTGTGTGTGTGGTCTGCTAAGTTCCTGGACAATCTCCTTTGTTGGAAGATCGATGAAACAGATGCAGTTTATTGACCTCTTGCAGTTTGGATGTTGTGTTTTTCATGTTCAGAATACAAAAAAGAAAGCAGGGCACACCCTGTTTGGAGGAAATGTCATGGGTCATCAAGCTTGCACTGTTGGGAGAACTGCGAACCACCCGGGTCGGGACCTCAAAAGGGCCCTTAAAAGGGTGAGTTGCATGATTTTTGATGTTCCTCGAGCCAACCCCAAATGGCCATCAATTTTGATCGGACCCCCTTCAAATGGGTTGGTGGACCAAATTATGTTCCCACTTAAATATACTTAAATGGTGTCCAC